GTGGTTGGCCTGGCTTCTGATTGGTGCGAGGAGGGCGGCGGCCAGTTGCCACTTTGCACTGGCGCGCGCATGGCAGATGTGTCAGGTTGACAAAAAACATGGGGGGTCTGCCTGTAAGCGTTTTTCCCCCCCTTCCCCCCACATCTGCAGGGTTGCCGATCTGGTTGTCTTTAGTGGATTTTGAATCACTCACTAACTTTTGAGGAACTAGTAGATTCAACTTCAGTGAGGATTCACCTTCTCTCCCAGTGTTGTTGTCACCACTTGCCTGTTGTGTTAAGAAAAAAAAAAAAAAGACTTTGGGACATGATAAACAGCCTGCACCAATCTGATTCACATGTCTGCAGAGGATCAAGGAGCGGAGTGTTCCCCATGATGCATTGTGTTCAAACTCAACTTTTTGAAACGCTTGTTTGTAGCACTTGCATCCCACTCACATGTTGTCTCCCCTCTCACACAAATGGGCTGCACCTCTCTTGACTTTGGCTGTTTCTGTGGAGAAATGCAAATCCCTCTTCATCTGCGGGTGCGGCGCGGCGGTGGCGTCGCGAGCAAGCATCTTTTTGTCCTGACTGCGTTTGCTGTGTGGTTGTTGCAGCTCGTAGGCACTGCGGCGGAGACATGAGGAGTGCGCAGAGTGAGCTTCACCCCAGCGGATCTCTATGTGAGTTGGCACTCACTTGGATACATTTATCACTGGCGAGCCGCGCATTTGGTAGCGACACTGACTCAAGTCACCTCCTAATGCCGCCACTGTCACGTCAACATGAAAATGCAGTGTGGCACCACACAAATATAAATGTATTAACGTGCTGATTGCGGCAGGCATATTTTGCTAGCTGAATTGTGGGTCTGCTGTAGTGATGTAGGTGAGACTGACATGGCGACACAGATTGTGCATCCAATTAAATTTCAGTCTAAGATATGCTTACTATGAAAGGAAGAAAATACAAATTTGGGAATAATTTAATGCAATAATGTAGCCGATATAATTGATGCTGCTTCTGACAGTATTTAGGCCTTATTGCTTTCTCTTTCCCCACCTGGTCTTTCCCTCGTGGACTCACTGCTGCTACGTACAGGTAATGACTGCAAGGAGAAACAGCACGCGGAGCAGACGCACGTCGCCGTCGCCTCGGTTTGGTCCGCTCGGGCCTCGGCGCTCTGGTGCTTGTTGCGGAACATCACTGTGTTTACAGGTTAATTTGACACTGGCTCCTGCTGATGCTGCCATCGCCTCAAAAATTTGCCCATCCCTGATTTTTACTCTCATTCAGTACATCCGCACAATCTGAAACAAAAGAACGGTAACAATCCTGACACTGTCTGAGAGGTATTCATTTTGCAGTTGTTTTTGTATAATTAATGCATCATACTGAGAACCTCCGCAGAGCGCATTCAAACTATTGGATGGATGTACAGTATGTCCGATGTCATTCACAAATGAGCATAATGACGTCCAAGTGAAGAGATTAGATTGTGGGGATGTACCTCAAAGTGTCTTCATGCAAAGTTGTGCCTCCATTATGAAGGAGCCTTGTTTCCTCAGTGTGGTCTTTGTGTTGGCTGACCTCGGCGTTGTGGACTCTGACCAGAACAATGTTGTCGTCGTCATCTCACGCTGCAGGTCATTCCCCCCCTCGTAGACCAAAAGTAGTTTCTTGTCCTGGGAGGCGGCTTGATGTTCTCTTTCTGTCGCTCATGTCTTCTTCCTAGATGTCGAGACGCGTGCATTGATTTTGATGTTTCGTAGCTGACATTTAATCAAGCTCTTGTGAGTGTTGCTCTCCTCTTCTTAGCAGGTTGGAGAACATCTTTCCATCCTGGTAGTCGGCTTCTTTTCTCTCTTCTGTTTGATTTCAGATCGTTATTTGCCTGCTAATTTTGCCATTCTTATCGTCACTAAAATATACGTTTGTGTTTAGGTAGGTCGTCCGACCTGGGCGGTGTGTTCAAGTGGATCAGCAGACGGAGTGACAGCCCTCTGCTCACCCGGTAATTACAGAGTGCCCAATAATGATTTTTAGCATTCAAAGCGGCTCAAAGAAACATAACTCAATGTGGAGCTAATTCTTAAGTCACCTATTTGAATATGAATTCAAGGTTGGCAACCTAATTTACATCATGGGCCAATTTGTAGTTCTGGTTTCCCCTCAAAGGGCCGTTGATGGTGTAAAAAAACTTCAATTGCTTTAGTGGGCCACATCTGGCCTTAAGTTAGACACCTGTGTATCTTGAATATTGCTTGTTAATGTACAAATGATCTCGACTCAGACATTTCCAATTTCTGCCCTTACAGGTTTCCTCTTGCACTCTTCTTGGTTCTTCCAATCCTCTTCAGTAGGTTCCTGCTCAGTCATCATTTTCTACAAAACTACAATTTCAAGTCTTGTCTTGTTGTGTCTTTTAGGTTTGTGTTGGTTTGGCCTCTACGGTCTACCAAGTGCAAGGGTCCTGGAGTGGGGGACTTCTATCTTTGACAGCCCTCCCCTGTCCGCGGTCGATGGATTGGCTTCTACTTCTGGGGGCCAAGCGACAAGGGGAGCTGCGGGGGACTCAGAGGAGGTGATGTTGAAATTCTTGCACACAGTTTGCACTCATAGCTAGAAGTTAGAGGGACAAGTTTGTTTCAAAAGCCAGACTCGTACAAGTACCGCACACCTTGCTCGTCTGGAGCGCAACCTGGCATTGCTTTGGGAGCGCGTGGAAGCCGGCGATGAGAGGGCGGAGCAGAGACACGGCGAGATGCTGCGGATGCACACCGAACTGCAGCGCAACGGCAAAAGTGGCAAACTCTGGCTTAGCAGACTGGTGGAACGCCAACTGGCCCAGCTGAGAAGGCGAATCGATGACAACCGACAGCAGAGAGAGCAGGTGGTTTTTCAACTTTTGGTTGTTGGCAAAAGTGGCAAACTGTGGCTTAGCAGACTGGTGGAACGCCAACTGGCCCAGCTGAGAAGGCGAATGGATGACAACCGACAGCAGAGGGAGCAGGTGGTTTTTCAACTTTTGGTTGTTGGATATGTTGGCGCTCTACAAGGGCCATGTTTCGATACTTTATTGAATTGTCACAAAAGTAACGGTTACACCTACACACTCCTATTAATAGAAACAACCAACAAATTGTGAACTAGAAGCATTAGAACGACTGGAATAAATGTAAGTCCAAGCTAAAAAGGAAAAAAAGGATTTTGGTATCTGCTTAAATAGAAACAACCAACAAATTGTGAACTAGAAGCATTAGAACGACTGGAATAAATATAAGTCCAAGCTAAAAAGGAAAAAAAAAAGGATTTTGGTATCTGCTTATAGTGACATATAAACAAGTTTTTAGTGTTTTAGTTGTGATTGAAACAACTTGCCTTGACTGATTGTTGTCGTTTGTCTCTGTTCAGGAATTATTTTGGTTGCAGAGCCAAATGTCCCGTCTGGATCTTGTGGAGGTGAATCTGCAGAACCTGGCAGCCAAGGCGGAGGTATGCTGTTTTTTTTCCCCCCGCCTTTCTTTCCCCTCTTCATGAGCACACAAACATGCATGTGGTATGAAACTGGCAATGTTTACAGCAAACATTTTTACTCCAGGAGGAAATGTCGAGGCAAGAAGCGATCGACACGGTGGCACCGGCAATTACTTGGGATGGGGTCAGGTGAGCTTCACCACGCCTGTGCTTCAATTCGTACACTGCTTGATGGTGTGGATTTTTTTTTTCTGACGTTTTGCGTGTTGTAATTGCGACATGGCAATCGCTCTCCCTCACAGCGTTTCTATGGACCGTCAGTCCCATGATGCCTTGATGGCACAGGTGGAACGTCTGGAGGCGGCTTTGAAGGACATCAGGCGGGATGTGGACGCTTTTCTGGGATGTCAGCAATTGGACCAGGAGACTGTGAGACGGCTGCAACTTTGGCATATTTGTGTCGTCAAATAGGGCTGGGTGACATAAGCTAAACATTTTTTTAAAAAACAAAAACAAATCTGGGGACGTACTTTGAATGACAGAAGGCATCGAACTGATAAATGAAATCAAATGAATTGATTCGTCGTTCTGGTTCTATCTTCATTTTGACCTCACCTTTTAACACTAAATATGCCTGACTCATGTATTCTCGTCATCTTCTCTTCCTTAACAGATTTCATCTCAGGTCTCCGCTCAGGTCCAGAAGGAAGTTCGTGTTCTGCTCTTGGGGAACGATCTGCAGGCGTATTTGGCCTCACTGGAGCGCGGCATCCTCCGCAATGTCAGCCTTCGTCTCGAGCAGCGCCGCCGTGAGGAGGTGCTCAGAGACGCAGATGGAATGGCGCTAACAAGAGAGGTCAGGATGTGAAGTCCTTTTACACATAACTGACCTATTAAGAAATATCCAAGCAGATCATCTTTGTTACTTTTTTTTTTTTAATACATTCTGCCACCTGATGGCTTGTTGCGTGTGTGCAGGATGTGGACCTGATGGTGAAGAACGCGCTGCGTCTTTTCTCCCATGACCGAACTGGCCTTGCTGACTATGCGTTGGAGTCCGGAGGTGACAAAGGGACTCGCTGTTTGTGACGTTCGTCTGTTTTTTTTTAAAATTAAATTTATGTCATTGTCATCCTACAGGAGGCAGCATCCTGAGCACTCGCTGTTCCGAGACCTATGAGACCAAAGCAGCACTGCTCAGTTTGTTTGGAATTCCTCTGTGGTACTTCTCACAGTCTCCAAGAGTCGTCATTCAAGTGATGCGCCGTTTTTGTTCTCAGTTGGACATAAAAAAAATAAAAAAAATGTGGTTGGATGACTGACAATCTACATATAGTAGATGCAAAGAATCATTCTTTATTTTATTGTTGATATTGTGTTCAGTAAGTTCACTGACTTCGGCAGTAATGCTAGAGGGTTAACCTAACGTTATGGACCGCTGAACAATGCATTTTGATGGTTCATTTTATGGTAAATGGTTGAATATTGAAATTGCTAATTAAGGATCCAGTTTGGATTTTTAAGGCCCACTTCCACGTTTGCTTGTGTTCCCGCAGCCCAACGTTCATCCTGGTAACTGCTGGGCCTTCCAAGGTTCCACGGGATTCCTGGTGATCCGCTTGTCCATGAGCATCCTCCCCACTGCCTTCTCCTTGGAACACATCCCTAAAGCCTTGGCACCCAGCGGCACGCTGCGCAGCGCCCCCAGAGACTTCCGAGTCTATGTAAACCTTTCCGTGTACGAAGTTGTATGGAGGCTCGGCATTTGAGTTGAGTTTGTCTTTCAGGGTCTGGATGACGCCGGTCAGGAGCGAGGGACGCTTCTGGGCTCGTACACATACCAGGAGGACGGAGAAGCGCTGCAGACCTATCACGTCACTGTGAGTCCATGCTTGCACCATGATGCGTCATACCGCCAGCTGTAAATTATGTCTTAAGAAAAAAAAGATTTCTCCCTACCTTTTAACTTTAGGATGGTTACAAGCTCTGATTTGATTGCAATATCAGTAGTGATACATACAGGCCAAAGCAAATTATTACTGTGGCAGCATCTTGATACCAAGGAACTACTGTATGTGAAAGTGAGTTGAGGGTCTTCTTTTAGACATCTTGGGCCCTCTCTAGACCTTTTAATAAGGGTCATTTTCATATTTGATACATAGCTGTAAAGACACTTGTGAAAGTAAAAATTGTAATTTTGTCCAAAAAAAAAAATCCCGCCTTTTGATATGGGAAAGACATTTTGGCATTTTTCTGTCATGTGCAGTCAAGTGACCGTTAAATTGGAATTGGGTTGTTTTTTTTACAGGAGGAGAATGAACGTGCCTTCCAAATCATCGAGGTGCAGGTGCTGTCCAACTGGGGTCACCAAGAGTACACTTGCCTGTATCGATTCAGAGTGCACGGTTCTCCCCGGGATGCCTGAATACAACTCTGGTATCGTTTGTTTACATCATCCGTTTCCTGATTAAAAAGGGCTTGTTGCCAATGTTTTTTTTTTTTTTTTTGGTGGGGGGGTGCCTTTTGTTTGTGAAGTTGTGCTGTTTTAGTTACGCACTTTTTTAAACAAACTAAACTGACCTTGTGGCCTTGAATGCAACATAACTTCCCAAAGTTGCCTTTAGGTGCGTTTGTGTCACATGTCGGTCGTTTTAAATGTTGTATTTAAGATGTAAATAAAGATTTACTCTACAGTGGTGCCTTGAGGGACAAGTGTTTTCTTACTCCCAACAATAAAGAGGATTACACTTACACTTTGTGCATTTCAAACATTTCCTGAAGAATGGCCAGCGAGCTCTTAGCTCTGATCATCTCAATGTACACCCTCATGTCTGTATGATAGTCAACATATAGTTGACTCAAAACGTCCACTGGAAATCCCTTACTAACTCCTTCTCGTTCAGTCTTTGGGCAGCGGGATGCCAAGCGCAGTCTGCGTCTGTCCTGCCATTCCCTGTTGGGCCTGGATCACTTGCTCCTCGCTGCAGCAATCCTGCAGGAAGACATGGGCCAGGTTGCGCAGGCGGGGGCTTTCGCATAGGGAGAAGCGCAGCATGCACTCCAAGATGGCCACGTCGCTGATGCGTGGACGTGACAACGGCGTTGATAGGTTCATGAGGGTGCTGATTGCTGACAGGACCGTCTCCTCCCGCGGACTGGACAAGCAGTTTGTGACCAGAGGGATGGCGTCACTCTGCAGAATAAGGTCGCGACATTCTGGATCCATGCTGAGGTTGCACAGTCCTCCTGGTGCAGTCAACAGCAAAAACAATATAAGGTAAGAAAAGAGTGTGTGTGTGTGTGTGTGTGTGTGTGTGTGTGTGTGTGTGTGTGTGTGTGTGTGTGTGTGTGTGTGTTTGTTTGTTAATGGCCATCAAATCAAGGAGACAGCTCACTCTCATGTCATGGTGTAAAAACAGTATATGCCATGGAATCGTCACCTATTCCAAACTCCACAAAGTTGTCGTTGTCTTCTGTGAGCATGTCCAGGAAGAGATCAGCCACCTGGAGCTGCCTCAAGTGCTCCGTGTTCTTAGGATCGTAAGCAAAGTTGGCCAAGTTGGCAAGAACTTGCTCCTTTGCCTCTGGAAACACATTTGCAAGTGTCAAGAAAATTATACGAATGCAAAGGAAATTATTCACACAACATGATCGTTTTAGCTACACACGTATCCATATTTTCCTTGAGGTACATAACCACGCATCGTGTCCTGTGACAGTCACTTAACACGAAATATGAATTTAAAGTCGTAAAAACAAATATAAAAGACACGATGCAGCTCACCATCACTATCGGTATCCTGAAACTCCGTGACGAGCGTTTGCAAATACTCGAAACGGTCACAGTCCTTCTTCCACATCTTTTATTTTCACAGTTTACCTTTTGATGTAAAGCGTTAAAATCATGATTAATTGTGACTACAGAGGCAAGTAAGAATATGTGTAAATGTAAACAAAGCACAGCGATGGTTCAGTTCAACCTGTCCGTCGGGTAAATAAGTCCAACGGTTGCTCGGCTCTTCGTACTTTAGTTCCGCTTAAGTGTTAACCTTGAAAATTCGCCACCTTTTTTCCAACGTTGTGTATTAAATAACATGCAAGCCTATTGTTGCCACATCGGAAAAAAACCCTGAATTTATGACACATTTCAATTTGACGTGATACATTTCATGTCATAACGTGATAAAATTTCTCATCCAGTCTGACGATGCAACCGTTTGACAGTGTTGAGTCTACCTCATCCCTGAAGGCAGGAAGCTGAATAGGCATGGGACGAGGGATGCTGATGGCGAACACGAGTTCTTTTTTTTTAACCAACAAAAGTATGCGTATGAGTAGTTTGCATTCTTTAAATGACCAGAATTGTCCGGACCAGACTAATATTGTTTCCACAGCTCTTGCATTGTCTTCGATTTGTGAGCTAATCGAGTGTCCTTGGCAACAGAACAACAAAAACAAATGAAACCCAATAAGATGGTCAGCAGAGGGCAAATAATTTTTTTTTTTTTTTTACTTGTGCTCCAAGGACACGCCCTCTACGTCCACTCCCCTGATCGACCCTCTCTTCCTGTTGCGCACCACCACCATCTGATACGTAAGTAAAGCTACTTAATTCTCATTTTAAATTTGTTGTTTTTAAACGACACTCGAGACGCCGACGTCCATTGCTGAATGAGACCACTGTAGTTTTTTCCCCTTACTAACATGCCATTGGAATGTAAATTCCCCTCCCGTACAAGAACAACGGAAAACGTTTAAGGTTGCCTAATAGCATCGTGACTAAACGAGCGATTTTCTTCTTTAGCCCCCCCCCCCCACACACACACACACACACATCGTTTTAATGTTTGTTTTCGCCGTTTTGCACTGATCTATACGTCGAACGAGCAAGCTAACGAGCCAATAAAGCGGATGCTAAAAGGAAGCTAACTCCCTTGAGGGTTGCCGGGGCGGGGGTGAATGGGTGGATGTTATGTAACTTCAAATGACATCAGGCGAATAAATAGTCTCATCCGATATTGGAACAGGACGTTTTTTGTCATTTTGTCGTTATTGCTAAGACGAGCTTGTGGTGTAATGGTACCTTCCGGTGCACTTTGTCACGCTGCAAGTGAAGGCACAAATATAAAAAAAGGAGATTAGACTTGGGACAAGTAAGTACACTTGAACACACTGCACCCCGAATTTATTCATTTGGTCCCAGTGTTTTCTTGGTTCAAGTATTAGCCAGCCAGTCAGTCTAAACAGTCTTGGTATGTCAACAAGCCAGTGGAGGGAAGTCACACAAAAAGGTCCTGGGATACAGGAATCTTTTGTGCTCTGTAAATGTTTAGTCTTTTATTAGTCTAACCGTAACTACCGTAACAATGGTCAATTCTCCAGCCAGCCATATTTATGAAAGGCTTAATACAAGTGAACACGCAAGGTTTTGGGGAACCAATTGCAAGATGAGGAACTAAAATTTCACACCGAGCATATTTCTGTTGACATGACATTTAAAGAAGTACCTACTTCTTGTCACTCTCAGGTTGTGGAGATGAGCTACCCAGGTTATCCTCCTCAGTCATCCGGCTACCCGTCACAAGCGGGTGGCTACCAATCACAAGGTGGTGGATACCCCCCACAAGGTGGTGGATACCCACCACAGGCCGGGGGCTACCTACCACAAGGGGGTGGCTATCCACCACAAGGAGGTGGCTACCCACCACAGGCAGGTGGCGGCTACTCACCGCAGGCAGGTGGTTACCCTCCCATGGGGGGTGGCTACCCACCAGCAGCAGGGGGCTACCCTCCCCAGGGTGGTGTCTACCCTGCCCCAGCTGGAGGTTTCCCATCTCAGGCCGGAGGATATCAACAACCTCAGCCAGGTGGAGGCTTTCCGTCCATGCCTCCAGGAGGTAAGATGTCAAGTGCTTCCTTTTGACTGTCGCTCGAAGAAAATTTGACATATATATTTTTTCGTAGGTGGCGGCTGGGGGGCGGCACCACAGGGCTATGGCGCAGTATGTAAAATCTTCTCAGTACACTGAAAATTGTTCATCATAGGGGATGAGTTCTAGAACTAGCTTGTCTCCATAAACAGAATGGTCTGGTCGTGTGCTACAACACTGACCTTTGACACCTGTCCTCTGTTTGCAGCCAGGTGGCGCTCCACAGGGATACCCAGGAGGGGCAGCACCAGGTCAGCAACCTGCGCCCAACTACCCCAGCGGAGGGGGATATGGAAGCGGAGTTCCAACTAATCCTCAGGCACCCGCCATCCCTGTAAGATGACTCATACTACACAAGTTTTCCACATAGCAAAATGCACTCCTAATTGTAACTTTTGTTCTGTTGGAATAAATAGACGGGCTACAGAGGCTCTATTAAGGACTTCCCTGGGGCTGATCCCCTGAGGGATGTGGAAGTTCTTCGGAAGGCAATGAAGGGTTTCGGTGAGTCACTTAATTTGACGTTTGGCTTGACCTTACCAGACTGAACGTATTCAAGTGCCTTGTCAAGTTTGGATTTTTGTGTTTTCTAAATCTCTAATTGAGATTATGGAATGCTTTGTACAGGCACAGATGAAAATGCCATCATTGAGCTTTTGGGAAGTCGCAGCAACAAGCAAAGAGTTCCCATGGTGGCAGCCTACAAAACAACTTATGGCAAGGTTTGCGGACTGACTCGTATTTATCTTGTGATGGACACCGAGGTGACCGGGAATCTTGTGACGTCCGCTCTCTTGTTTTATTTTCCGCATTTCCCTCCCGCAGGATTTGCTCCACGATCTGAAGTCTGAGCTGACTGGAAATTTTGAACATCTTGTTCTTTCCATGATGAAGAGTCCGGCGCACTTCGACGCGTCCGAACTTAGGGAGGCAATAAAGGTTGGCAGGTTCCCACTTACTCGTCTTTGAATGAATACTTGGGCCTTGTTGGAGTTTTGCTACCATTTCAGCTTGTTGCCCCACATAGACAAAAAATAGTGCAATGCTAGAGAATACAAATTGAGAAATGAAGAATTTTCTTTTAGGGTGCTGGGACAGACGAAGCTTGCCTGATTGAGATCCTCTCGTCTCGCTCCAACGCGGAGATTCGTGAAATTGTGAAGATTTACAAAGCAGGTTAGTTTTTATTTATTTATGTATATTTTAAAAAAAAAACAACAACAACAATCTGACAAGACTTACAAGTGGCTCAATTTAAGAGTGAGTGGATGATCTCCATTTAATTAAAGCGGATAGTACGGCTGAACTGTGACTTTTTTGCCGTCCAATTCCCTAAAATGTTGCGCCTTGTTTCCAGAGTACGGGAAAACTCTGGAGGACGCCATCAACAGTGACACCTCCGGTCACTTCCGAAGACTCTTGGTTTCCCTCTGCCAGGTAGATAACTGCACTTCCAGAGACATATTTCCTCAAATAGTCGTACGGTCGTGTATGTACAGCACTGACTGAACCGTTGGATTGCTTCAGGGCAACCGCGACGAGAGGGAAAATGTGGACATATCGCTTGCCAAACAGGACGCTCAGGTACCACCCTGCAGTCATCTACTCTGGTCTCGCCGTTGCTTTGTGCTTCAATGTTTTTGTGTGTCTCCTTGACAGAAACTGTACGCCGCGGGGGAGAACAAAGTGGGCACAGACGAGAGTCAGTTCAACGCCATCTTGTGCGCCCGTAGCAAGCCTCACCTGCGGGCCGGTGGGTAGATATGTTGTTGTCCTAACTTTTCGTTTCCACCTCGAAACTACTGAGATTCTCCACCGGTGAACCCCTGTGTAGACTAACATCTGATTGTTGGACTCTTGTTCTAGTCTTCCAGGAATACCAGCAGATGTGCGGTCGTGACATCGAGAAGAGCATCTGCAGGGAAATGTCGGGCAATGTGGAGTCTGGCATGGTGGCGGTGGGTAAGTCAAGCGCCAAGTTCGCTGTGGTATAAATACAACCAAAATAAAATCTTAACTACTCACACACACATAGATGGTTAACAAAAAACCTCAATATTGTTTCCTTTTTTTTTTTTTTTTTTAATCTCTTGCCAATAATTAAAGGTAGTAGAATTGCAGCTGATGATGTGTAATATTAACGCAGCCATAACTAATATGAATATCATGAATATGTGTGTCCCTTCCCTAGTGAAATGCATCAAGAACACCCCCGCCTACTTTGCTGAGCGTCTGCACAAGGCCATGCAGGTACAGGCATCATTTTGGTAGCCTTAACCTGTAATTCCCTATGTCATTTTTTGTGGGGAGGGAAGGCAAGTAAAAACACAACAAGTCCAACAAACAAGAAGGAGTTGCCTACGCTCAACCTTTTTGCGGGTTATTGATTTATAATCGACACACATGCGCAGTAGAATACTTTTTTAAAATGTGATTTTATGACAATAAGTTAAAAATGACTCGGACAATGATGCTATCAGGCTAACGATTTAACAATCGGGTGACAGGGTGCTGGGACCAAGGACAGGACTCTAGTCCGGATTATGGTGTCCCGCTCTGAGATTGACATGATGGATATCAGGCAGGTGTACGTGAAGACCTACGGGAAGTCACTGTACACTCACATCTCCGTAAGTCTGATCGCCGCGCTCGCTTTCCTTCCGCATTCACCCAATGTTTAGTCCAAGAGTAATTCAGGCCCACCAGAAAGATTTGTAATTTTTGCTCCTCGTTTTAGTCAGAAATGTGTGTTATTGTGAAACTAACAGAGGTGCTCAAGTACGTAATAAATAATTATACATAAATTAAAGTAAAAGTTATAGGGTGTAGTCTGCTGTAATTTTTATCCCATGAGGTATTCTGACTGAAGCATGGCACAAACAAATGTTTTTCTTTTTTTTTTTTTTTTTTTTTTTGATGGGTGTGATAATGGGAAAAATGTTTTTGAATGTTTGTGTCTTTGTCAGGGCGACACCTCCGGTGACTACAAGAAGCTGCTGTTGAAGCTTTGCGGTGGTAATGACTAAGAAATGACAACCTTTCACAAGGACGGAACGACCAGTTCATACTCAAAACTACCTGCAGCAAGTTCGTCCATATCCACGTTATCTCTTAATTGGATGCGTCGTGATTATTTTTTGCGTGTTTGTTGTAGTCGTTGCTTGCCAAATAGACCCGATTTATATATTTGAACATAACCAAACTATAGAAGGGCGTGCCTGGAAATTTCATGCAAACTACAATGTCTAACCGTGTGTGTCCTTATCTGACCGAACGACACGAATGAATGACAAAATTGTCAAATTCTCTAAAAGTGAAGTGGTGTGAGTAAAAGTAGTCGCACCGCTTCAGTTTTGCCATATTTTGTTTGGTTAGTCTCGTTTTAAAATTGGAACCAATTCTTTTTTTTTTCCTTTCTGTTTTCATGTGGACATCTACATCAGTACCGCTGTACCTTGACTTACTCAAATTTATGCTTGCAATGCACATCTTGTACGTCAAGGTACCACTGTATTGTGTAGGTCTTTTTTTTTTTTTTTAAAGAGGTGCACTTGTATTTAAAAAGCCAAATCAATGGGCTCTCCTGCCAAGTGATAATTTACAAGTAGTTTTTTTTTTTAATATATGTGCACAGTGTACAAAATGTGTTTTGTTACTTTTTGGAGGTCGCCAACACATTTCAAATTGTCATTCGTGCAAAATATCTGCAATGAACGCCTGCGCACTAACCTGTCGTACTCGCGCCTGCTCGCCTATGCAAAGTAGCCACCGCTTTATATCTTTCGCTTGAGATTACTGAAACTTTTTTTGTTTTTCTGCTCGTTCCGAGCGTGAACTCAGTCTGTGGCCTTAGTCTTGTTGATGCCACTTGAGGGCACTGTAAACACATTTTGTAGCTGAATGTCTTTTTTTCCGTGACAATCTTGTCGGTTTAAAGCTTGACATGTACAAAACACACAAACTAACACCATCATTTTTATTTCAATTAAAAAAAAAATTAATGACATCATACCTGCTTGAGTGTCGTCCCCCCACTACCCCCTCCCCCAATTCTCTTGAACTCCAGAGTTTCCCGGACAGCATATTGTGTGTAAAGGTGCAACAAAATATGCCTTACATAAGCCATAATATGTGATGAAACGGTTGAGGACAGCCGAGCGAGCGGCGTGCTGCGGGCTATAAATAGCGTCCATCTTGTGGACGGGCTGCAGGCCTCGCGGGGCCCCACAAATGACTCGGCTCGGCTCAGCACCTTTTCCCCTTGACTAGCGCTCATCCATTATCAAAACGGGGCAGCATGGATGATTATTTGATGGGAATATTTGGGAGGTTGTGGTGATACCTCGCCGGAAATAGACTATCTTGCTTTTAGGAGGACAACAGCCCTGCAGCGACCCCGATCGTAATTTCCAGACACGGGACTTGAATTATTCAAGCAGAAGGAGGCACGCTCGCATGTGCGCTCACAGCTCACGTTGTAAGAGACACCGACTCTATCTAGGTCCGCAATCAATCAGTAAAATAGATTCCAATTGACCTGTGACCTCTGGATTAGCTTTGTGCGTTTGTAGCTAATGAACTGTAACTGGCGTGTGGAATGAAATGACTGAAAATGGGAAGAAATACACAAAATACAAGTGTCAATAAAAGATGGTCTATTACAAGAAGAGAGCCAAATGCATTTATTTAAATGTTAGATTTGTCCTTAATTTTAATCAAAATGCATGTTCATGTTTTTTTCCCCCCACAAAATTCTATTTAGAAGAATGTCAAATATTTGACCTTTTTTACTGATTTTATTCACATTTCCACCTGCTTAGATTTTACAGTTGATTGTACTTTATTCATATATCTATACCACTGATATGCTGAGATGCGTTATGTTCCAGGTTCCACTTCCTGTTCTATGGTTATCATCACCGCTCGGTGATGAATGTGGTTCATCATGTCATAATTGCCACAAAAAACAAAACAAAACCTGCTGGTCCTGTTTTTTTTTTCCTTTTAATTTGCGCTGTCTTTGGACGATACAGCCAGCAGTAAATGATGGCACGACTCGCACCGAGACAACAATAGTGTGACATTTACGCTTTTTTTTTTTTTTACGGCCCCGCAACGCCCCCACTTGGGGAATTTACATTCCAAATTCTTGTCGGGAGCCACATGGATTTTCTCTGCAGGGAAAGTCTTACATAACCATTTGCATTGTTTAAACATGGGCAGCGTGTGTGTGCATGTGTGTGTGCTATAGGAACACGGCGTCCTGCATTTAAGTAGATTTCGCTCCATATAGATGATGTCGCAAAGGATTAAATGCACTTGATTGCGTTGTTTCTCAAGGATTTGGACCTCATGCAATATAATTACGCTGCAATTTCGATCTCTTGTTATTATGAGATAAAGATGACTTTGTTGCAAGCTATGCACGGAATACACGATACAGTGTGGTGCATGTCAAGTTGTTGAGACCTTCAGCTTGTCCCACGAGTCACTCACATTATTTGTTTGGCGCACTTTTTCTAGCTCACTACTAACACACAATCGAAACACCCCACAAAACAAGCATTGAAGTTGCATTATGAACCTTTATGTGCAGGCAATATAACAACAATATTAATGTGCATATATTCTTTGTCCTCTGCAAAAACGATCTGTCTATCGTGTGTGTGTGTGTGTGTGTGTGTGTGTGTGTGTGTGTGTGTGTGCGCACGCGTGTGTGCGTGCGCGTGTGTGTGCGTGCGCGTGTGTGTGCGTGCGTGCGCGTGCGCGCGTGTGTTGACAATTACGTGCGCGGCGAGCCAGGTGCGTCCACCCACCAAACCCCGCCCACTTTAAACCCTAAAAAAAAAAACCTAACAAAACAAAAAAAAAATTCCCGTGCTCTGAAAGATGAGTACGTTTCCTTCGTTTTCTTCCTGCGCTCGGACTCTCCAAGCAAACGAATCGAATTCGCACTACTTTCGCACCACTTTTCAACATGTCCCAACAACTCGCGTGCACTTTGGAAGCACCTCGTAGCGTCGAGCGAGCGGGGCTTTGACGACGACTTTTCCCCAGCCGGGGAGGGACTCAGAAAGAGGAAAAAAAAGTGTTGTCATCTCGGCGCCATCAACAAACATGGCTACTCGTCGAGCAGCACCAACTGATCCGGGTCGCCTCTCTTGCTTCTTCGTCTTCTTTTTCTCGCTTAGAGCTTCGAAACTGTCCGGCGGAAGGATTTGATTAGCCAAAAGCGAACCGAGGCTGCTGTTGGAGGTGATTGTGGTGCTGTTGGAGAGGAGAGCCATGGATCCGCGGCACAGGGAGTTTCTGGAAAAGTGTCACCACAACTTGGCCGAGTCCGTCACCGACGCCGACCAGCTCGTAGAGGTCCTGTCTCGGGGAGGCACGTTGAGCCCGGCCGAACGACACGAGCTGGCCCGTGGCGGCGGCGGCGGCGCGGAGAAAGTGGAGCTCCTCGTCAAGATTCTGCTCCGCAAGGACCGGGACCACTTCGCCGACTTCTGCTCGGCCCTGGAGGAGACCAACCCTCACCTGCGCCCGGTGCTGCTCACCGGCACCGGTACAGGGCCTATGATCCACAGCACCGGTAAGACGAAAACTTTAACTTTAATTTATCCGTGGATGACAGTGTTCTCTAAATCACCGTTTCCCAACTTTTATGAAGCCAAGATGGATATTTGACAGGAGAAACAACGCATGGAACACGACTGAAGATAAAATATCACAATATGTATAGCTGTTCAGCATTTGACGATGAATTTTTCCATTGAATAACAGAATTTGGTGGGGTCTTGGGCCCGAAGAAATGATTTGAAGTGAGTTGAGAAGCTTCATTTGGGCAAATAATCACTGACCACCACCATCTTTTAGAATCTTTAGGCGATTACAAACCATTTTAGCAGGTGTAAGCATTTTATTCCAATTTGTTATTAATTCTATGATCTTTGCAGAAAAAGTCAGCATCTAAAACCTTGGGATGGGCGAGTACCAATATTGGTATCCGATACATTGTACTGGTGGTCTTATTTCAATCCAGTCTCTCAGGTACTCTTGATGGCTGCAATACCAGCAATTGATACTGAAGGCAAAAAAAAATCTAAGAACCCATTGCAAGTGATTTTGGGGAAAAAAAGATGAAATATGCCTGGGATTGGTTGCTACTCAATTACAGGGAGCAATTTTGACCTGACGCTACTGCCACTAACCCCCCCCCCCCAACCTTTTCCATCCCAAACCCTTTTCCCAGAGTCTGTGTTTTAATGGCTCTAAAAGCCAATGCAAATCAATGTGAGCTGCAGTGCTTTGGAAGGACAAAGCGTCAACAGGAACACACAAAAGCACATTTCATTTAACTCCGTTAACTATGCAGACCCCTTTTTTAAAATGCTGGAAAATTTCTGGAAAGTTTTCAGTAAATTTGTATGGAGACCGGAGGTGATACATTTTGGAAATCACCACCCGTCAGAGATTGAATATAATAAATCAAATAAAAGCAAATTGTAGGTATTGTTTTGAAGGAGGATTTACTGCCAGTAATTGAATTTGGTTTGATTGTGTTCCTGTTACCACAAACTAAAAGCATTTTTATGCTTTGCATTTTCGTGCCAAAGTGATTTTCTTTGTGATTTTAACAAAATAATATTCCTGCAACTTTGTCTCCATTTCCTGCCCTATTTGCATCAGCATCTAGTTTTTGACCCTCTGCTCTCGCGTCAGTGAGCTGAACGGCGGCGTGTCAATTATGTATTTATCCTCCTCGTATTATTTATAGCAGGATGGGCACTGCGCCGTGAGCTTCCCTGGCTTTTTACCCTTTTTCTCGCTGCATTTCACAATTAGGCAGCGCACGTGTAAAGCTGCCGCCGATGCGCTAAAGCGCTCTTTTGTGCGCCTGCTCACGAAGGGTGCAGCAAAAGTGGGCAGAGTCGACATGGAGTACAGGGCGGACAGGTTCCTCCGGTGTGTGCATGCAACAGGAGGATAACAGTCACAATCAAGGCGTGAATCCACCTTCTCTCGGTTTGCATCGTTAAAATCATTCACGATGCTTGCATGTGCGCCGTGGGCCTCTTCTGTGAGCGCCGTAACGTGACAGCCAGCAGCACACGATGCCGGTTGGGTGTGCACGACGACCTTGGTGTGACGCGACTGGACGGACACAGAATGTTTCCAGTCAGTTGCGGCCTGCCATTTGAGGGGGCGCGAGGGCGACACCCACCCACTCACCGCATCACATTGAATAAGGCAGAAAGAAAAAAAAAAAAAAGAATAAAAACACAGTGGTGCAAGTGATCCAACGTTGGTTAACAATACTGAAAGGCATATATTCTTTATCTGCTGCGAAAAATGATGAATATTGCAGGAGCTTATTGAGTCACTTAAAGTAGTGTGGCCTGAACAAGAGGCAGCCCCTTGAAGACAACCTCAGCAAAGGTCGACTTCTGCTTTTTGAGAACTTTTCTTAAAGGCGAACCCAGACGAGACGCCGGAGTGTCAAAAGTCAGGCGCCAGCATGCACACGTGACTCGTTTTAGGGAGCCTGCTTGATGCGCTTCTCAAACAGTCATGGGAATGGGAAACTTTGGTGAGCACCACAACAAAAAAGGGCTTGATCCATGGGATGTCGCCGTTCCCGAGGCCCATCCTTTTTTTTTTTTTTTAAATACCCTCCACTCTTTCACTCCTCGCCTGAGGGGGGGAAAAACAGGGGTAAGTTGCTATTCTGAATCAAACTAATCGTCTGTTTCACTACAGCAGCTGGAGTTCTGGTGCCCTAAATGGAGAAATACTGGCTTCCATTCTTTCCGGATGATCGCAAACACAGTCGATCATTTTGAAGTTGGTACTGGAACACAGTTTCTCATGTTGCGCAAAACTCACGGTTCTGGGCAACTGCCTCAGCTGAAAGCATGTTGGCTAGCATGAAAATGACCACAACAGCATTTGTACTCCTCTGAAAATAGACTGGCGAGTAGTTTTACAAGCACATATATCCCATTCTGGCCTGTAGCAGGTTGCACTTTACTTTTGGAGTCAGCCAGTCGTTTCCAAATGCTGCTGTCGTGCTACCCCCCACCTAAAAATAAAAAAAAGTTTATATTGTGCCGTAATTGCCAAAAGATGATTCAAGATGCCGCCAAAGTGTTGCTTTTGTCTAAATGAAAACCCCCTACTCCCTGCAATGTCTTTACTTTCTGTAAGATGGCATCTAAGTAGTACTTTTACTGCTGTGGTCTGGTTTGCTTGATGAGTTATTCAAAGAAACTCATCAAGAATTTTTTAAGCGCATTCTGATAATTTACAATGCAAAAAAAAACGTTTCTAAACAGCGGCGTGTCTTCAACCCTCGAGCGTCTACTGTAACGTCTATATACACGCTTGCGGCGCATTCAACCAATTCGGCCAATTGAACAGAAGTTCGCCTCTCCGTTTCCCCCCGACTTTCGTTTGTATTGACCCTTGACAATTGCTGTTTGACAATAAGGACAGTGTTGAGCTTTTCCAGCTGACCGCCTTTCTAACACGGTCTTCCTCCAGTGTCTTGTGTTAATGCCCTACTGTCACTTGTGAGTCACACAGTGGGCTACAAAAGAAGGGGGCATTCATTGGGCTGCTGTGTGATCTTGTCACTGGAGATAAAAGGCTGCGGCCTCTTTGGGGGCCCGGCCAGTCGCTATTCAAGCTCCCGGCGCAACCGATAATTAGCAAGACTCGGCCGGCAGACCCGCAGGGCCGTCATGCCCGTTCGGGGGAAAGTCCCACCTTATTGTTCCTCCAGCTGGACCGTATTCTGTTTTTGTTGTTGTTGTTTTTTTTTTCTTTCTTTCTTCCTAGTCGAGGCTTCTGAATGAAAGCCGAGATGTCGGGTCCATTGCTGGAAATGATCATCCACCCGACTGACCTGAGTGCTTGTTTTTTGCTTCCTTGCAGGGTCCACGTACAGCGTCTTGTCCACCATGCCGTCAGATTCTGAGAGCAGCGGCTCGCTCAGCAGCGTTGGTGAGTCGTCCTATTCCCAGGATTGTAACCTGCGACAACACGCCAGCGCCAATCAATAGATAGTCATCTGTCTCGATCTATTGCTTGATCAGTCGTCTGCAAAAATAGGCAGTTGGCTCGACAGGAAAATTCACGAGAGTTTGCCGATGGTGATTTGCAAATCGGCAAGTGTACGACTATAAAAACAAAAAAAAAAAGCGCAAAAATACAAGTAGGTAAAATTATAGAATAGATTGTTCTGCAGAAAAATTTAGCTAGTCGGCGACAGTTAAAAAAAAACAACGCATAGGCAAGTGCCTCAGCAAATGGTTTGTTCTACGGAGTAACTTAGGTGATTTGTCAATATTTTTTCACTAGTCTCCAGTTGGGACACCCCCGCAAAAGTTTGCTAAAAAGAGGTGCAGTGCACTTCCGTGGCTCCCCTTCCCAGCGTGGCAGATTGAACCATCGTCAACTTGGTGGAATCTGGGGCTCTATATTAGCCACTGGCCCTTCCCTGTTCAGACTGAGCACATGCTGCTGATTACACAGATGTGAGAGGGATTTAGTGACGCCACACACCACACGCATACACACAGACCTGCTTCTTTTGGTCAACCCCCCCCAACCCCCCACCGCGACTCCACTGTGTGGCCTGAAATAGAAACTGAGCTTTGGTGATTGGCCTGAGTGCGGGAAGTTGTGGCGGATTGCTGGCATGTGTCGGGGTTACCAACAACAAGAATTCACAAATGGGAAAAAAAAAATCGAAAAATGGGCGAGGGTCTTAGTTATACTGACGTCTCTCTCGTGTTTCAGGTACGCCCACTCCAGCCTCCTCGCCACCGCTGGCCCACGTGGACGCTCAGCGGGTGCACGACAAGATGGAGACGGTCCTGTTCCAGCTCCGCCACGTGACCCGCGAGCGCGACGAGCTCCGCAAGCGGCTGGCGCTCTCCTCGCCCGGGAGCACTTTTGACGACTGCAGGTACGTCGTCACCGTACAACTTAACGCCGTGATGTCATGAGCGTTCTCATCGTAAACAAATGGTGACAGGTCGCAAGAGGGTTGAACATTTCAACACCACACACAAAAATGCTAACTTTGCCAGCCCATTGATGGCATTTTGCATTGTGTGTTAGCATTAAGCTAGCGGACGTTCCAAAGACAAGTGATGTGGTTTGTTTAAATACACAATTTGGAATTTGTTTCAGTTTCATGTTTAGTTTCACAGTGAAATTCAACCGGGAGTGGTAAGTTCTTTGATTTGGTTAAATGCAAAACGTTGTTCTCTCTGTTTTATTCTTAGTTTGACAGTAAACTTGTACTGGGAGTGGCAACGAACGGCTCTGCGCAAGCACACTTTTTTTTGTTTCTTTACTAGCTTGGCCACGGAACGAGTTAAACTCTTAAATCAAGTTGCTGCTGTCGTCTAACTGGAAACCATGTTCCAGCGGGGAGTAAGCACCAGTGAACAAGTCTAATGTGAGCGCACGTTGTTTGTGCACGACGTGCTTACTGCTCAGTCAGACACGGAGCGCATTGAATTATGAATGCGCCTCTTCCGTTAGTTCGTTTGTGTCATTTCAAAGCGCCTGTCCGTGTGCGTGTGTTTGCGGCGCAGGCCCAACTCGAAAGCGGGCCACGACTACGAGCGTCTGAAGCTGCAGTGCATGAAGGCCATGGCTGACCTGCAGTCTCTGCAGAACCAGCACAACGGCACCCTCAAGAGGTGCGAGGAGGCCGTCAAGAAGGCAGACTACTACCAGTGAGTGCCTGCCCGCAACACAAGCACTCTAGATTTCCACTCCCCCACATTTTTTTTTCTCCTAAAGTATTTTATCTTCACTCTCGGGTGCAATTTTATTTCTCACAATATTTTGTCTTTGAAGAAGGCGGACTTGACTATGGTACATTGGTGAGTTTGGCATTTTTGAGAAGGTGCCCCTTTTGGGCTGTTTGTTGTTGTTGTTGTTGTTTTTTTTTTTTGTGCAACTGATTGCACAGAACAGATTTTATTTGTGTGACAGTAATAGGGATGAACTCTTCATCGCCGTCCGCAAGCTGCCGGGTGAATTAAGCCCTAAAAGCCGTTCCATCAACTTAATTTCATCTTTTTGATAGCCCGAGAGCCAGTCTGCAACCCAGCGAATGTAAAAAAAAAAAAAAAATTAAAATTTTCAAAGTCAACATGACAAAGTTTGGAAGTGACGCTTGCCCGTCTTGAAGAGGACGCGCCAAATGACGCTCTGTAATTAGCACCCTGACCAAAGATGCCACTGGCGCTGCATTTGTTGTGTCGCCTCCATGGGTTGGGGGCGGCGTTTGTGTTGCAGTACTTTCTCCTCCCGAGCAACATCTGGCCGCAATACAGACACACAGATGTCGACAGAAGATTATTATTAAGATTATTGCTCTGTTTAAGCTGCTCCTTCTGTGGACCGTTTGCACTGGGCGCAGTCGGCACATCAAATCGTAACTTTTTTTCCCCGTATTCCGGTTTAAAAAAAAAAACAAAAAAACAACTTCTTAAATTGTAATCTTGTAACCTTTTTTCCATTGTGATACTGTTTTCTCCTAAACTGAACTTTGTTTTTCAGATTTTTGACTCCCCCATACTGTATATTGACCTTATTTCCATAATTTTTTTTCGCCACTTACAACCAGTCTGTTTTCCTAGAACAGCAGTTTTATTCCTCATATTGCAGCTTTTTTTTTTTGTTTCCACAAAATTATAACTCATTTCTCGTTGTCGTATGATTTCTTGTCATATCCCAGCGACTTCATTTTGACCCCACAGGAACGCTCCAAGTTTGCTTTTTGAAGTGTTGTTGCATAAGACAATCATTTGACTGCCAGCACACTTTAAGTCATAAGCACGGTAATGAGCTTGAAGGGAGAACATCTGGCCTTTTGACAGACTAAACCACACAGACTATTTTTAGCCTCCGCAACTCCTGGGAAAACAATCTTCTCTTTGCTGCTAACCTTTTTACACTTCGAGCTGGTTCGGTGGCGTCGGTCTGCCTCAGTGGCGTTATGAAATGAGCAAAGCGCTTTCAGTCATGTTGACTGGTTCATAAAACTTTGTGTTTACTTAACAAATGTACAGTACTAGATTGGGGGGGGAATTGCTCAAGCCACTGTAACGTTCTTCAGTTTGACCATTCTTTCACATACCACTAGAGGGAGCTGAAGGATTTTTTTTTTCTTTAACATAATACAATAATTAATCAGAATGTTTCTAATTGTCTGTGTTTTCAGCACGCTGCACAGCCGTCTGGCGGGCGAGCACAGCCAGCTGAAGGACGAGCTGGAGGCGGTGAGGCTGGACAACGTGCAGCTGCTGCGCGAGCACGATCACGCTAAGCAGAACTGCGAGGAGCTGCGCCGGCTGCGCGACGACCACCAGCGGGAGGTGGCCGACATGCGCCTGCTGCACCAACAGGTAGCATGTTTTTACTTTTTATTAAAAAAAAATAAATCCATCTTTATCCTCCTAAAATTGAAACGTCTCTTATTACATTCCATGCGTCAGTTGAGTTTGTGTGTGAATTTGTAGGTGATTCGGGAGGGCTCCTCGGACGCCCTGAACAAGCTATACGACTCTGCCGTGGACAAACTGGAGAGCGTGAGGAACGACTACGAGGGTCTGCGCAAGCTCTACAACGACAAGACGGCCAACCACAACGCCGACCTGAGTCGCCTCGACCACGCCGAGGAGGAGAACCGGCGCCTCCAGAAGCAGCTGGACGTGCTGATGAAGCAGAGGGACGCCGCCATCCACTACCAGCAGCAGTACTCATCATCCATACGGAGGTGAGGCAGGGTGAAATTTTTTTATTTTTTTAAATCAACCCGTACATAATTATGACTTCCTCCCACCTGTGTAATATGCCTTGCTTGTGTCGCAGGTTGGACCAGCAAGAGCTGTCCAAGGTGGCCGCCCAGAACGTGGAGCTTCAGCACGAGATGGAGCGGCTGCAATCGGAGGTCACGCGCTTCAAAACCCAGCAGCTCAAAGCGAACAAGGAGTGCGAGAACTTCAAAGACGAGCGCGACTCGGTCATCAGCGAGTACCGCCTGATCATGAGCGAGCGCGACCAGGTCATCAAGGAGGTGGAGAGGCTCCAGACCGGGCTGGAGGTGGCCGAGGCCAAGCTGAAAAACACCTCATCGGAGCAGCGGGTGGCCAATGAGGAGCTGGAGGCCCTCCGACAGGTAAGGCTCGTATTTAGAATTTTTTTTTCCTTAATATGCATTTCCGATGTGTCTCGGGGTACTTGTCTGAGTCAGTCGATGATGTCATTGATTGTACTTGCCACCCCTGAGAACATCATGAACAAACAGCTGATAGTGGTTGCATCGGCACATCCTCAGTTTGTGCCTGTTTTGAAGGAACTGTCGTCATCGCTGATGGACAGGGACCGGGCGCTCTGCGAGAAGAACGAGCTTCTGGAAAAGTACTGCCATGAGGTGAAGGACAAGGCAGAGGCGCAGAAGGAGCTGAGCCAAGCCTGCCGGGACATGGAGACGGTGCGCGAGGAGCGAGACGTGGCCCGCAAGGAGAGGACGGAGGCCATCATCCAGCGGGACCAGCTGCTGCAAGAGTATTACCAGGCCAGACAGGTACGCACACAAGGCAGATTTATTCACAAATGGATGGATTGTTTTGTTTTTTTTTCCCCTGATGTTAATCCTTTCATCTAATACAATAGTCATTTTTTTTCCATCTGCTGGCACGCCACCACGCCTTGTTTTTTGTTGCCTATCAGAAAATGATCAGTGCACAGAGCTTTTCCTCCTCTGGAGGTCAAATAATTAATCCCAACAATAAAATCCATGGGAATCAGTTCAACCGCGGTCTTAACGCTCTCCCTAACTCCTTGTTTATTTTCTCAGTGTCGAGCAAGGCCGCTAAGAGATTTTTCCTTAATTAAATCATGCCTGTTAATCCTCAGTAATAGTTCACATTCAACTTCTTTGTCCTTTTATTCATCCCTCTGGACAGCTCAGTCCCACACCCGCCCAAAACATACAATCCACTCCCAACTCAATTCATCACTATGCGCCCCCTTCCAAATGGTTGCAAACTGCCGTAGATAACCGAATAAACAGGCAAGCAAATTTCACTTAACGATGCCTGACCCACTTTTCAACCGCAACAAATAGTCCCAAATCAAATGCTAATAAATAATAGAGAGAGAAAGAGAGACAGGTTGCTGTTTTTGTTGGAAAGGTTGAACCAAGGTATTATAATTATTTTGTGTGTATATTTTTACCATTAACGAATTGTGCTACTAATAATACAGTGGAACTCTGCTACGGTGATGAAACAATTAATACATTATTTCAAAAATATATATGCGTGTTTGTGTATATGCATGTATATATGATTATAAAAAAATTGTGCCCCTTGCACTCACCACTTTATTTTTAAATAGCCTTGCGGGCTTTCCCGATCATTTTTGCCTGTGTTCAATAACATTAGCGTAAATGCCCGAAGTGTACCCAAACTGTACCTCCAGAAACAAGACTCAGCCACCCTGGACATGGAGCGAGCCAGCAAGGAGATCGAGATGCTGAGGAAGCAATACGAGGCCGTCAGTCAGGAATTGAGCGAGGCCCTGCAGGAGGCCGAGGTGGCCAAGTGTCGCAGAGACTGGGCCTTCCAAGAGAGAGACAAGATCGTGGGAGAGAGGGAAAGCGTTCGGTGAGATGACTCTGCTTGTGTGTCATTTGACGTCCTTTTGCTGCTTATCAACGGCCCGCACTGAAAACAAGTGTGATGTGGCTCTTTCAGCACGCTGTGCGACAACCTGAGACGAGAGAGGGACCGAGCCGTGAGCGACCTGGCGGATGCGCTCAGGAACCTAGACGACACTAGGAAGCAGAAAAACGACGCCGTGCGAGAGCTTAAAGAACTCAAGTGAGCCCCCTCCTGCCCTTCTTTTATTTATTTATTTATTTTTTGGGTGGGGGAATATATTTTCTTCCTGTTCTTGCACTAGCTGCAGCTCTAGTTGTGGAGCTCGGCTCATCTTTCTATTGAATGTGAAAAAAAAAAGAGTACATTTCTCTGTTGTGCAGGGAAAAAATGGAGGACCAATTGGAAAAGGAGGCTCGGTACCGCCAGTTGATGGCTCACAGTTCACATGATTCCGCCATCGACATGGACTCGGTTGAATGGGAGACGGAAGTTGTCGAGTTTGAGAAGCGCAGGGTGAGTCGACTGTCTCTGTTTTTATCCGCAGCCATGGAACAAGGCCCATCTAATAGTGTCGTTCTTTTCATGCAGGACATGGATTTGAAAGCACTTGGCTTTGACATTGCCGAGGGGGTAAATGATCCTTATTTACCAGGAGATTGTGGCGTGTTTGTCAGTAAGGTGGACAAAGGAAGTCTAGCAGAAGGCCGATTAAGGTAAACGCCTGACACCGGCAACCCCCATACCTGAAAAATCTAAGTAACGTAACCAAGTATGTGGACTAAATTATTTCCCGCCTGCGCCGAGCAGTGGTTGAAATACAAGAAGTATTTCTTGCGCACAGGGTGAACGACTGGCTGCTAAAGATCAACAACGTTGACCTGACCAGCAAGGACAGGAAGCAGGCCATCAAAGCTGTGCTGAGCGGCGAGGGCGTACTCAACATGGTGGTCCGACGGAGGAAGTCGCTCGGGGGACGAGTCGCCACTCCAGTCCAGATTAACCTCTCCGGACACAAAGGTCCAAAACTATCTGTGTCGTATTTCGCTTTTTAGGTGCAACGTTGAGGCTTTCACTCTTTGAGGTTAGTTAAAACTCAGACTGGCCTATTAATTGACTCGACATTGTCCTCTCAGACTGCGGGATCTGCCTGGAGAGCGGTGTCTTTGTTGCTTCGCTGGCGCCTGGCAGTCCGGCAGTCCGAGACAATAATCTCACAGTCGGGGACAGGCTCTTAGCTGTGAGTACGCTGTGCCTGTAGCACCCCCTGCTGCACAACGCCATATTCATCCCTCTAGAAAAACAAAAATCCCTATTTTTTTTCCCCCGCTCTTTCCAGATTAACGGCATCCCGCTCGACAACAAGTCACTGCCTGAGTGTGACGCTCTGCTGAGGGCATGTCGCGAGTCGCTCTGCATCTCCCTTGCCAAGGTGACGATTGCATACACCTAAAATAAAATTAAGAAACACAAGCACACTAGATGATTAATTTCCAGTGAAGTGACCTTGTGACTGAGTTTTGCAGCCATTGTCAATCATCTCTCAAAACACAGTAGACCTCGTAACCAAAGTTGGCTGCAATAAATCTTTAAATGTGCAAAATAATATGTTAAAATAATAGCACTTATTCCTGCCAAGTTTTCAATCACCTAGCGGCATTTATTATTGATCCACAGCCACCACACGCTTGTGACAGCTGCAGTGTGTTGGATATGTTTACGGGATTTCTGATTTGTTTGTGGGCAGTTCCTGCCACAGAGCTGCTCCGGCCAGAGTTTATACGAAAGCCTGAGGGAATCTGAGAAAGTCTGCAAAAGCTGCCGCAACACCAAGCGCAAGTGCTGCACGCAGGCTGACGGCTGCGCCTGCGAGATGAGGTGCCGGGTGGGCGATGACGAGGAAGGGCACGATGATCCCGGCCTTCATTGTCACCATGTGCCCGGCGACTCCCTACACTCACGGAGCCCCTCGGAGCCCCTGGCCGAGTTCGGTTACAGGAGGCAGGACTTGCACCGCCGGCCCTTCACTTTCACGCCCGTGCTCCCCGACGGCGGCGCTCCATCGGGCAAGGCCGGCGGCGGCACGTGGCCCAAAGTCATTGCCGGAGCGTCCGTCCCCGAGTGTGCGCAGCTTTCCATCTACAAGAGATCCAAACAACGCAAATCCATCTTTGACATGAACACATTCAGGAGACCGGAAGCGCCTCCAAAACTGGACTACATGTCGCTTTCTCAGCTGCCCAAACACTCGCCGCAGAGCTCGGTGGCCGAATCCTTTCAAGGTCCGCCCACCCCGCCGGCCAGAAGCGACTCGTTCAGGTTCAAGCACTCCCAGCAGAATAGCTCGGCGTCCGACTCCACCATCCCGGGCTCTCCTAGTCGAGGGAGTAGTCCCGTCACCGAAAGCGAGGCCGGGAAGCAGGCTTACTACTCAGCTGAAGCTTCGCAACTAGAATCCATGACGTTGGGGGATGACGACGGGAGTCAACACCGGGAGCCGGATAAGAGAAGGTGCCGGCCCAAATCGGCACCGGCGCTGCGGCGGAACGTGACGCCGTTGCATATCCCGCCTCCAATGCAGGTCAGTAGAAAATATCCAATGATGCAAAATACAAATCTGAAAATCTTATGTCCAAAATGTTTCAATAAAATATGACATTTCATTTTTTTTCCCCGCACATCCAGGTTCACCCTTTCTCCAATGACGAGCACTCCCCTGAGCCGATGGATTTGTTGCGCTTCTCCCCGATGCGAAATAATCGCTACAGCATGCACTTTGCACCCCACAGCTACAGCGGCGCCGTGGCACGTAAGTCGGCAAAAACGACATCCGGTCATGTGGTTTTAGTAGACCTGATCACCATGTTGTCTCACATAGAAACTGCAATTGAACAAACCGTTCATACAACACGCCTCTCACATGTACGCAGTCATGAATCCATGCTACACAACATGACATAACTATACATGATTCCATTTAATACTTTGTTTTCCGGAAGTACCTCGGGGCCTCTTGTTTACAAATATTATGAAAAGCTCTACAGTATATGAACAGACATGACTGTGCCATATCAGACCCGACGCAGCGAGGCTTAGCTCCGTGTCCGGCGAAGACGTCTGTGTTGAGGAACACCGTCTACCCCACCTGGAGCCAAGAGATGCAGACCGGCAACTGCCCACCCGGGCCCACCCCCAGCGTCCAAACGCATTCACTTGCAAGGTGCAGTCAAGTGGACATCTTTCAAAACATGTTTTTTGTTTTTTTTTCCTCCTCAACAATCATTAAGTAAATGACTTGGCCTGCTGCCCGTTTTAGCACCCAGCATCACGGTCGCCACAGTGTGGACCTCAACCACAAGCTCGCTGGAGACATGAGCGAGAGCAGCCCACCATCTCACGGCACCCACTCCCTCCCCTCCAGCTCCAGACTGGGTAGATACTCAATAGTGCTTGTTTTCTTTTGACATCATCTTGAAATATCTTGAAATTTCACTTATAGTGGCCAAGAGTGCCTTGATTCGCACAAAATGAAAATTTGTCAAAATACCCCCCTGCAAAAAAATCCATTCTTTTTTTTTTATGTTGCATGTTAGGTTCATTCGACACTAAATTTGGATGCAACTGTTTTTTTTTTTCTTTTTTCCAGTCTCCCTGAGTGCGCTGCAGTTCAGGGCTGAGCGCATTAGGATGCCACCAACTCGTTATCCGTGCTCCACCGGATCTGATAGAGGTATGGGAGTGATTTTTACACCAGGGCTATCAAACTTGTTTTTAGACTTTAAATGACACCTGTGATCTACAGTCTCGGAGTAAACATAAATAAATAAAATGTTGTCACATCCGGCTCGTCGTCCTCCAGAATCTCGCTCCCATTCAGAGTGCAATTCGCCGACAACGCCTCCCAAGTCCCCAGTTGGCCTGGACACGTCATCCTTCGCCAGCAGCCAATTGGCGAGCTCCATCTCAACGCAGCTCAGGATATCCGTCAGCCGCGCGCCAGTCGTTGACGGCCGGAAGGATGGGTAAGGTGGCCCCCTCGCCCGGCTCCTTCAGCCGCCATCGCTCAAAGTGTGACGTGCCGCCCGCTTTCAACCTGATCAAGTGCCTCGTAAAGCAGTAAACAAAGCCTCGCGTGATGGATGGCCGTCTGTTCCGCTTTCCTCTCTGCTGCTCATTAAAACTACTGTTGCTGCTTCCTTCCTTTTCTCTCTCTCTCCTCGTTTGCCTGCTTTCAGATTTGTCTCTAATCCCTTTGTCAAACATCGGCTGGCTGCTCGGCCCAAGTTCCTCTCTTTGAGATGCTTGAGGTTTGTTTCTTGTTGCATATAGACCTTCTCATGATGTCCAGAAAAGAGCGCTTTTGGGTGGCAGAAAAATGACGTGTGACAGTGTGGTAGGCAAAGAGACTAATGTCAATGCTGACTTCCACTGGGCCAAATGTCGAGAGTTGAACATGTCTCCTTTAAGGCCGTATTTGGAGGAGCCGCGCAACGTGACGGTGCAGAGAGGAGCCGAGCCGCTGGGTATCTCCATCGTGAGCGGCGAGACCGGTGGCGTGTTTGTGTCCAAAGTGACTGCGGGAAGCATCGCTCACCAAGCTCATTTGGAGTACGGTGATCAGCTTTTGGAGGTAAAAAACAAAACAAAAAAAAACCCAAACATCTTGTTGATTTGCTGGCTTGTGTGACAAATATCGGCGGCTTTCTCCAGTTTAATGGGATCAACCTGCGCAATGCCAACGAGCAGCAGGCACGGTTGGTGATCGGGCAGCAGTGCGACACGGTCACCATTTTGGCTCAGTACAACCCTCACATGTTTCAACTGGGCAATCACTCTCGATCCAGGTAAAGCAGTTTGAGACACCGCGCCGGAAACCACATTGCTTCAGCTATTTGTACGCCTCCTCCTCAGCTCTCGCATGGAGTCCATCGGCACCCAGCCCACCTCGCGGGGCAGTGGCACCAGCACCCCGGACAACCGCTCCGTGGGCGACACCCTCAGCGAGCAGGACGAGGGCACCGTGACGCCCCCCTCCAAGCAGACCACCCCCGTCACCAGCCCTCACAGCTCCTTTCGGTACCACTGGAACACTTTTAATCATTAGCAGTGACCGCTAGGTTTGCATTGCCTGGAACACTTCCAGAGAACTTCCATTGCAGGTTGAGCTGGGGAATTAAATATGAAATAGTGACACAATGGTGTCGTGTTCCTGCGCAGGCTTCCCATTGCCGGCGTGCGTCGCACGGCGGAGCCGCGTCTGGTGAGGCTGAAGAGGATCCAGGCAGAGCTGGGAGTCCAGATCTGCGGAGGCAATCTGTGTGGCATCTTGGTGGAGAGTCTGGATGAAGACAGTCCTGCTAAAACTCCTGATGGCCTCCTGCCTGGAGACCTGTTACTGGAGGTATCGTCTGACTCGCTTAACTACAATGGCACCTTGACTTGCCGGTGCCCCAGCTTCGAGTTAGGAGCCGTCAGTTGGCCATGATTGTTTTTGTGTCGCAAGCTAAAATTGGTCTTTGTCTAACCTTGCATCCTGAGAAGTTTCACAGTTGGTGAACAAAAGTAGTTTATTTCCTGACTTTCTATTGAATTTTTACTGGATTTTTTTTTCTTAAAAAACCCAACACATTTATGGGGAAATGTGATTTGACCAGTGCACTGTAAGGGAAAAAAAATTGCATTGCACTTTCTTTTACCTCAAACGATGAGTCACTCCACGTTGACTCACTTCTCTTATGTTTGGACCACTGACTCATCTGTTTTGTTTTGCCAACAGTACAATGGCGTCAGCATGAAGAACAAAACCAAAGAGGAGGCTTACCTGGAGTTGTTAAAGCCTGCTGAAACTGTCACGTTCAAGGTACAAAACTGCGTGGACGAGCTCGCTGCCATCAGTCAGATACCTGGAGACGGATTTTTCATCAGGTATACAAAATGACAGTTTTGGGACTTGTCACACAATCGCCGATATGTTCGATGACATTCAGCTCCACCGTCCCCTTTCCGAATAAACAGAAGCCACAATCAGAGCCATTGTAGGGCAGTGTGTGGCAAGATTTCTGGATTCCGTCATGCCTCCGATGCTGCAATTTTGTCGGCGTGTTACATTCATTGACCTTCACTTCATGCTTTCGGATGTGTTCCACCAGATCGCTTTACGAGAGGGTGGCCGACGTGGAGCAGGAGCTGAGCTTCAAGAAGGACGACATCCTTTACGTGGAGGATACCCTGCCCAACGGCAACTTTGGCTACTGGACTGCGTGGCACCTTGACGAGAAAGCACAGAAGATGGAGAAAGGGCAGATTCCCAGCAAATACATGCAAGTCCAACCCAGAAGATGGATCGATGTGTAGAGCCACTTCTCATCTTGAGGAACATTGTGTGGAGCTACTTGTCTTGTCTCCCAAGGATCGACCAGGAGCTCTACAGAAGACACGGCGTAGCCGACATGAAAGACGATGGCAGCGGCGGCAGCAAAACCTTGTCTGCCGCCGCCCGGAGGTCTTTCTTTCGCCGGCGGCTGAAGCACAAGCGCAACGGATCCAAGGACGGGAAGGACCTGATGGCATCTGAAGCCATGATGTCTGATTACTTGCCCATCACAGAAGGTGAGACGGCTATATTTTTAAGGGGGAAATATTTTTAATATTAATTTCAAGTCTACGTGAGGCAAGAAAGCTCAGCGTGGAGCCTCTCCACCCCCTCGTACATGGGGTGATCCATTATTGACAATAGCCTCTCGAAATGTCCACATTTTTGCCACATTGTCATGTTTCTTCTTACTTTTGTTCATTCACTTCTACCCTAACAATTACGCCATATTTTTCAACCGTTCAGTATTATTTTCGACCTGGTGCAGGATTGCGCTATTTTCCGCTGTTACATGGTGTCACTAGTCGTTTGGATTGCTCTTATTGGTCCATTTAACATGCAGCCCAGAAAGTCCAAAGGCGCGTAAAAGATCAGCGTGTTGTCTTGTTGCCTACTCAGATGGCGTGAGCCTGATGTACCAACGAGTGCAGAAAGTGGAGTGCTTAGCCCCCAGACCAGTGCTGATCTTGGGGCCGCTCGCAGAGGCCAGCAAGGACATGCTGGTGAACGAAGCACCTGCCAAGTTCAGTCGCTGTCTGCCGGGTAAGATGCACTTCACTCCGAGAACTTTATAGTAAGGTACAAGTTTGACAGTGTCACTCTTGGAAAGCCAAGATGCCTGACTTTGTCACAATCATTCAATCTATATTACCTTCACCGACACGCAGGCAATGTTTTACATTGTGATACCCATTCACACGCCAAAAGCAAAAGTATGCCGCGCGTTTCTCTTGTAGAGATCATGAAGGCGTCCCAGCAGGCCATTGAGCGAGGCGTGAAGGACTGCGTGTTCATCGACTACAAGCGACGCAGCGGCCATTTTGACGTCACCACTGTGGCATCCATAAAAGAGATGACGGAGAAGGTAGACTTTATCGCTCCATACGTTGTCCACCATGTGCATCCACAATAGGCTGCGTTGGGAAAGTATTCACAGCGCTTCAGTTTTCCCATATTTTATGTTTCAGCCTTAGTCCAGAATGCATAAAATTCATTTCCCCAAGAGTATGCGAAAGTATTTCCAGGGCTTCATTTTTTTCCATATTTAATGTTACAGCCTAATTGCAAAATCGAATGCATACACACCGTTTAATGACAAAATAAATGACTAGAAAGTCACATGTACAATGGATGTGGTAAGTATTGAGAGCGTTTCCCTTTTTCCACATCGATTGTTCATTTTGCGTGTCCTTGCCAAGTTTCTGTGTTCTGACAACCACGGTGCATTCTCCCGCGCTGGGGCGGTGTTCTCTCGCAGGACTGTCACTGTTTGCTCGACATTGCCCCACACGCCATCGAACGCCTCCACAGCGTTCACGTCTACCCAATCGTCATTTTCATTCGCTACAAAAATGCCAAGCAGATCAAGTGAGTAAACCCGTGCCTTGTTTTCTTCATTTTTTTTTCTCATAATCACATGACCAACATGTACTGAACACATAGTACAATTCTCTCAAATATAGTACTTCATTTCTTATTTTATTATTTTTATGTGTTGCATTTTTTGTTTGATGTGAAATCTTGATGCACGGCACTTTAAATTTTGACACTAAATTGCAAAGCTTTTTTTTCATTGACAATTTGGAGGATTGCTGTGACGTTTATAACCATGTGCTGGTTTAATTTCTCATTTGTCATCACACGGGTGGGGAAAGTTGAACTCTTCCGGCCGTCCCCCTCCCTGACACTCCATCACGGTCACGACAGACTTCCTGAAGCTGCACGTGTCCAAAACATGCAGGAGGAGATTGATTCCCGCTAAGCCTCCCCCCCCTCTCCCTCCCTCGTCGTCGTCAGCTGAGTGCCAGCTGTCCCGGGGAAAGCCTGGTCAGAAACCCGTGGCGCTGGTTCCCCGCGTGGGTGGCAAAAATGCTCGGCACCCCCCTCCCTGAACACAAACACGGAAATGAGCTGTGTTGTGTGTGGATTGATGGCGTCGATTTCTTGTGTGTTCTCAGAGAGCAGCGGGATCCATTGTACATCCGGGATAAACTCTCGCAGAAGCTGTCCAAGGAGCAGTTTGAGGCGGCTCAGAAGACGGAGCAGGAGTACAGCCCTTTCTTCACAGGTAAGCCAAAACTTGCACGCTGTCGAAAACGACAGGAAAAAAAGAAAACGGACGAGAATTTGCGCAAACTTGAAATCAGGACTACCCTTTGTGTAAATTCAGCCAAATATTCTCGTCCTCCATTTATTTTGCCCCTCCGCGCAGGTGTTGTCCAAGGTGGCAGCGTCTCCTACATTTGCACTCAGATCGTCACCATTGTGGAGCAGGAGCAGAATAAAGTTCTGTGGATCCCCGATGGGGCGCCGTAGAAGTGAGGCACAGACAAAAAACAAAAAAACAATTCCACACGACTTCTTCATAGCAGTGAATCGGTACATTAACTCATTACGTTTCACTTTAAGCCACTGCACATGCACACTATATGATAATGATGTACTGTACTACAGATAGTTGTTTACACTAGTATTGAATACTACTTGAATGAATGCGTTTCGATCCTGAAGCACTCCTTTTAAACACAACCTGGACCACCATGCAAGATGGCTCCTTTCGCTAAATATTTGTTTTTATCAAATCGTGGAGATGTAGCTTAATGGTATTTAACATGGAGGATAAACTTTTTTTTTTCACCCTCTATTCATCATTTCAGGCCTCACATTATGATGTCATCGTGCCAAGCTTTTCTAATATTTATTATGACTGCATGTGTGTGATGCAAAGAGCTAAACAGCAGCTTTTTACTGTGTGCGTGCGTGTGTGTGTGCGCGCGCGTTCTACTTGAGTTGTCAATTGCGTTTCGCGTTCTTCCTTCAGTTTGATGATTTTAAAGGGATGTTTTTGCCTCTTGGTTGTCCTGATTAGCGACGCTTGTCTTCCAACATCTCAAATGTTGGAATGAAAAATCATAAGTTTTTTTGTTTTTACCGTGATTAAAAAGGGTACTAAGGATGAATGTTTTTTTTGTGCATTCTTTATTAAAGAATATTTCTTACATGCAATTCTAAAACCCAATAAAATCTGTCAAAATTATTTTGTAGTTTCTCTCAGAGGGTGTTATGACTGGGAAAATGTACAATCACAATCACCTCTGGACAAAATTGAGAGACCAGAAAACACTGGGGAGGGGGAGTGTCAATTAGCAAGAAACAAAAAAACATGTTTTTGGTTGCTTTAGTGGGCTATACATTTTTTCATGGCTTCACCTTGACCCATAAAAAAAAAAAAAATCATGTACTGTATAAATAATTTGGAGAAAACCGATGTCATCCCCTGTTTGTCCACAAGGGGGAGCCAAATCCACTGGCGACGCCACTGATGCCTCACTGTTAAATCAACCATTTAGTTATCGACAGTTATCTTAAGATAATATGCACAACTTAACTCGCCAAACTGAAAACTATATTTTAATTCATATTTTGTATGATGTTAACCCCACAATTTACAGATGCTTTACAACAATAAACAGAATCTTTCTCACCACAGAATGCTAAATGTGAGCACGTCTGCCCCACTGTGACATCACAGTGAGCCAATTAACGTAACAATCACCCCCACATCGATATACTGTAGTGTCAGCGAGTGACATGATCAGCTGGCCAAAGGTGCAGGATGAAAGATCATTCAAAGGAAAGTAGAGTTGCAGTATTATTGTTATTGTTGTTCGTGGTTAGCCTTGGGTGTTCTGTATTATAAACATGTTTGGCAACGTTGTCTCCTTTTTTTGTATTGCAGCATTTCTCTTCATTATATAGGACTTGATTATTCAACTTTCCATCTGTTTTTCTAAACCATTTTGGTCATCCTGTTTCAGGTGAATCTGTGCCCATTATAATCCATCAAGGGGACATTTAACAAAGAATGATCAGTCATCAATTTTGGCATGAATTGAGGCGACTCGCAATCGAGGAGGAAGAATCATGATATGCTTTAAGATACAGTGTGGTCACGAACCGGATTAAATTTGTAACTCAAGGCCCCATTGTATATCGTTGACTTCATAATCTCTTGTTTTAATTCAACGTTTACTGTGAATTTTTTTCTCCAAAGAAACGCAGACTCCAAATCTAGGGGCGGCTTTATGAAACCCCAAACGAACCATCTCCTGCCCTCATAAACATCACGTCTGCGCTCTTTAGCGCCGCCCCTCCTCCTTTTCCTCTCTCATCACTCCGTCCACCTCTCCTTCTCCTTCCATCCCTCCATCCACCACCACCTGTACATCTGCCACAAGCCAGGCCGCTACCCAGCGTGCGACGGTCGGAGACCGAGCAGCCACGCGAATCGCTCCTCTTACCCCAGCACCAATTGTTTTTGATTGTTTGTTTTGTTGGAAAAGAAACGTGAGGCGGATTCAACGTCGTCGCTGTATTTGCAACACCCCCCCCCCCTTCACCACCACCACCTTATTTTTGCCGATCGAATTGGACGTTTACGCACCGGATGACGCACGACGAAGCAAGCCGTGTCGGCATCGCGACCCTGGATCCTCCCATCCGCTAGCAAGGTGCTCCCCAGCCGCGTCCAGCCAACTTTTGCGGCCGCTCGGCAGTCGCCGGAGCTTGGCCGCCGACTCGCCATGGCCCCCGAGCGCCGGCGGGTCTCGCCGCTTTGAAACGAGTCGACGACCCGCCCGATCGCCCGGCCGCGACATGGCGAAGAGCCGCGAGCGGCTGAGCCCGGAGCCGTCGGTGCACATGGCCAAGATGAACGTCATCATCCCCTTCTCGCCCGATGTGCCGTGCGACAGCAACGGCCAGCGCATGTGGTGGGCTTTCCTCGCCTCGTCCATGGTCACCTTCTTTGGGGGGCTCTTCATCATCCTGTTGTGGCGGACCCTCAAGTACCTGTGGACCGTCTGCTGCCACTGCCGAGACAAGAAGAAGGTACGAGCGCCAATCAAAGGCACAAAAACACGCTCAGCTGACACTTGTTGGCTGTCGCAGCTCACATTGACACCCACTGACTGCCCACTCGCAAACTTTACCCTAAATAGCACCACAAAAATACGTGCATTGCAGTGAAATATCGTTGACACTACAGCCCTACGCGTTCAAGAAAAAAATAAAACTGGTCATAAATGCGTCATATTGTTAACCGCACAGTTTAAACATCATCACAGCTCTTGAGCGCATTTGAACAGAATTTTGTATTCTGTGACAATATCAGCACCAAAAATGAAGAAAAGCATACTCTCTTCTTTCACCAGGAAAAAAAAAAGTTTGTTTTGAAGTCTCGGCCATTTGGATAGCAGCACCAAATACAATCTTACATGTCCAAGTTAGTCGGATTTTGGAGAAACAAGTCAAGCTCCTTGAGTAGAAAAGCAACACTTTCAAAACGAGGTGGCCCACATTCCAACCCCGCACCCTCCGTCCCCTCAATGTCCATTTACCGCCCCTACTTCTGAAATAAATCCGTATCAGAAATGCATCGTCAGTCTCTTGAACGCGTGCCGTGTAAATTGTTCTTTTTGTTATTGCTGTTGCTAAGCAACTAGCAAGCAAGGAGCGGATGTGTGCGCTTCCAACGCACTTGCATGCACAAGGAACACCTCCCGTCTCCTCTCACCTTACCCCCCCCCACCCCAAGACATACACCATTGTCATGTAATTCGTGTTTTGTTCACAAATTAAACTTCTGCAGTCTTTCACCGTTTAACTGTTTCCCCTCTTGAGAACCGCTTTGATTGCTGCACTTTGCCACCACAGTGTTGTGATGCCCTGGCATCTGGACAAGGAGAGCCAGAGATACGCCAAATTGTTTACGTTCGTCATTATTTTTGAATATATACTAAATTATACATCAAATATGTGAAAATAAAAAATGGTGACCGTCCGCTGTGCTCTGCAACATGGCCCAGGCCGAGTTTCAAAGCATTCGTGTAGTTTGCTTTCATCATTGAGGCGATCTGAGATCTATTGCGACTCGTTGAATAATAGATGTATTATTTTTTTCTCATTATAATAGCAGCAAATGCCACTTTTTGACAATTCCTGTCGTGGGCCGTGACATTTTCAGATCAAATCGAAACCTGGGGGGCATAATTGGACGTCATCAAACTCGAGCGTTTGAACTCTCACCCCGCTGCCGTTAATAATGTCAGTCATCTGCTAGAAAGTGTCACCATGGCAATTACATCCACCGGGTGGACTCGCGCTGGCAACATTTCGTAGTTTCATTTCCAAAAAGTCATGCGCTGATTTGACGAGCGAAAACCGTTGCGTCAACCAATCCTGCACTACTGGTACGTGTTTGGTCGAAATTTTTAATTTTAAAAATGTTGCACTTTTTTCATTACAGGCCCCACAAAAACACAAAACATTTTGTCTTACTGTTTTCAAATAAGAAAAAAAAACGAAAGATTTTTTTTTACTTTAGCAAAATAGCAAAGAAAGCACGCTGTGGACCACGATTAATTAACGTCAGCTGATTCTGGTGAGTCTAATTTGGCCACCTGGGCGCAGCATAATTTAGTCACGCAGACGCAAGCGAAGAAGAACAACCTCGTCTTCGTCCTCTTTTCTCTTCTGGCTAAGTAACTCAGATCAATGCTGCATCCAATGTTAGTGATTTTTCATAGAGGATAAAAAATATGTGCCAGTAAGTGTCCACATGTACTTCCACAGTTTGTGTCCAAATATCCGCTGCAACGAACACCTCAATTAGCAACGCTGACGTTAGCATGTCAATTTGAATTGTTTGTTAGCATTACGCTGAGCGACGCTTCCCAAGCTAAGCCGTATTGTTTGTTTTAAATACACGGTGATATTCTTTTTGTATTTCGTTTTCGATTGACCTTCAACTGGGAGTGCCGCTGAACAACTGCAAGCATTTTATTTTTTTGCTGGAGGAGTAGTTCTATATTTCTCAACGTGTTACTTTTTGTCAAGTGAGCTACCATGCTCTGCTTCACGCGTTGCTAACAGAATTGTCAAGCGCCGCCATCAATTAACTGATGAGTGAGGTGTTGGGAAAGAGCTGCACGGTTCTAGGACATTTTGTCTTCGTGCATTTTATTAGTTTTTAGTATGACTATGCACAGAATGATTTCAGAGTGATGAGGCGTCAGGTGGCTTTTTCGACTAGAATTCACCATGTGGCGCACCACCAAATCAATACTTTTTTTTTTTTCCTGTTGCGTGGAGTCAGGCTGCGCTTCTTGGAGCGCCTTCTGTCCAGCTTGGCAGCCCTTAGCAACAGTGACTAAGGTAACCGTGCCGGAGCATCGTATTCACATTAGTGTTTTTAGTATCGTGCTTTTCCAAACAATTTTAAGCAATATTTTTTAACGAAACTGCGACACAAGAAGAGAGGAGTGAATCACCGCTTACTAACATTTAGTTTCTCAATGAGAGAGAGAGAGAAAATAGATGTTAAGGAATTTTCTAAAAAATGGTATTAATGGTACCAGTGACTAAGGTAACCGTGCCGGAGCATCGTATTCACATTAGTGTTTTTAGTATCGTGCTTTTCCAAACAATTTTAAGCAATATTTTTTAACGAAACTGCGACACAAGAAGAGAGGAGCTAATCACCGCTTACTAACAGTTTCTCAATGAGAGAGAGAGAGAAAACAGATGTGAAAGAATTTTGTAAAAAATGGTATTAATGGTACCAAAATTAGTAGTCTGTTAATATGATTAAGGGCATATTTGGTAGAATAAGCATTTGTAGCCTCTGCCTTACTTTACCCTTGGGTGTGCTGTTCCACACCTTAACTCCTACAGCACTGCTAAAAACGAATATGTAGATTTACAACTGAGCGGAAAAACATGTGCAGCATACTTGTGATGGGACGCACACACACACACACACACCACATGCACACAAACATTTGCGTGGTGTGCATGTCCGGAATGCGACGCGCTAAGATAGCTGGCACGGACTTCTAGGCACACGCGTGTCCATAAGAACACGCCAACAGCTTTGGACATGAAAGAACGGATGACTTAATGGTCGTAGATGTCACGTTAGTCTCAAGGTTGCCTTGCATTTGTGGCCTGAGCGCTCTCTCTCTCTCTCTCTCTTGACACCCACTCTTACTGACCTACACCTGATGCTTAGATTGTACATACGCTGGAGGTTCTTTATGGAGACCTGCACGCATGGACGTGCTTTGTCATTTTATATCGGCATACGTCATAGTGAAATGACATTATAGGACAGCAAGTAATGAACTAAAAGCACCTACTCGTGCCTATTTCAACAACTGCACAAAAATTATATCGCTGATTATCCCTAAATAAAATTGAAATGTTCTAGTAGGCTTTTCCTTCTCCTGGCATTTGGAAAGGAGGTGAGTAGACTTCTAATGTCCAATGTATAATTTATGAATCCTACATGAGTATTGACACCAATGTCCCACTTTTATTTCCCCTGTGGTGCTTGTCTCTGGCGGGTCAGGACGTGCACAGGCTGACCCCGGCCGACGGAGTCCTCAAACGTGCCGACAAAGACGAGGCGGCGGCGGCCAGCGAGGTGGGATGGATGACGTCGGTGAAAGATTGGGCGGGAGTGATGATCTCCGCTCAGACGCTGACGGGACGAGTCCTGGTGAGTGCTGAGCCTCGGCGTTTGGCGTCTGATGATTGCTGGCTGGCTCGTCTCCGCAGAGACGGACAAAGAACGGAGAGAGCTTTAAACAGTGTATTAAGGTCACACGCTGGCATCCCATAATGCCTCTCGGAGAGAGAGAGAGCGAGGATCACATCTGGTCAAGTGAGGGCTGTTGCCATGGCGGCTCACTAGTTCAGTGAGGGGAATTACCTCAGTTCATCGAGAAGGCTATCCCAATCTTTTTTTGGAGTCAAGGCATTTATTTATTTTATGTTGGAAACCAAAGTGCCCAACAAGAGGCCAAATGCTCTTTTTACCTTTTTTTTTTTTTTTTTTTAAATCGCAGCTGGCTCAACCTGATACATGAGCGAAAAGTACAGCAAGCAGTAGAAGTAGCGAGCGGTGTCGCCACAGCAACGGCGGCTTAGCTTCACCTCGCAGATGTGTGTGCATTCAGCCCTTTAATGGGCCACGCTAAAGTCCACTGTCACATGCATGCACGACGTATGTAGCCTTCCTGTCAGCTCATATGTAGGTACACAAAACAATAGACAACCCTGTTTTTTACTTTGTAGAACATAGTCATAACCAAATGTGAGTATAATTAACAAAAAGTAATGAAATAACTAAAATGTAATCATTTTCCGTCATAAAATAAAAAATGCTTTTAAGAAACGCAAACTAACTGAAACGATAGCTTAGGTTAATTATAAGACTTTCTAAAACAAACTATAATCATAGCGGCAATGCCCTTAGTTTGCGTTTTTTTTATTTAATGCCATAGAAGAGCTTTTGGGATTCTCTAAAACAAACTATAATCATAGCGGCAATGCCCTTTGCGTTTTTTTTTTATTCATTGCCATACAAGAGCCTTTGGGATTTGTTTGAAATTTCAGTTTTGCTGTCTGTACAGACGAAGGAAGGTCAAACTGTCGTTTGGCAATTGTCATTGATTTTACTTTATTAGTCATTACTTGGTGATTGTTTAAAAATCCTGCTATAGACAAATGTGCCATATATTAAAAAAGTAAAACTTAAACTGAAAAATAAATTGCAAAATAAAGAAAAAAATAAACTTAAATGAAAAAAAAAAAACCCCACTCCAAATGGTTGCCAAAAATTGCTTTCAATCTGGCTTCTGCTTTAATTAGCAGCAGGTAGTGTTTGAGTCAATAACATTTTATTTGCTCTGGGCTCTCGGGAGCCTGAAATAAAAGCGTGTTGACTTGAACAACAAAGCCTTTGTGATGACACGCAAGCCACAGGGGGGGATCCCGTCTGTCTTTCGATGCCTTATTGGTTCCTACGCCGCCACACACGCTGGCGCGAGATCGTCGTTTGCGCGATGTCACCCTGGCTCTGCACCTGCTTTTAAAGAAGCTCACAACAGTCGAGAGAAGTTGTTCCAAAACACCCTTTGAACACGACGTCGTCTTTCACGATGACCATAATGACTGCATGTCCAAACACGAGGCGTTGCTAGCGAGCTGAAACCGGCCTTGTTTTTTGGTATTGAGTATTTTCGGATAAGGCAAAGAAAGTCTGACAGAATGACCATAATGACTGCATGTCCAAACACGAGGCGTCGCTAGCGAGCTTGTTTTTTGGTATTGAGTATTTTCGAATAAGGCAAAGAAAGTCTGACAGCGTAAGTTGGCACTATCTTGCGGCAGTTTGACACATCAGTTTGCTTTATTTAGGAAAGTGAAACATAGTTTGTTTTTTTGGGAAAATGTAACCAGAAGTTTGTTTTTACAGTTTGACACATCAGTTTGCTTTATTTAGGAAAGTAAAACATAGTTTGTTCTTTGGGAAAATATAACCAGAAGTTTGTTTTTCCAAGGCAATGCTTGCGAGTGCATGCGTTATGTTGCCAACGACTGCACCTACGATGAAGTCACGCTTCCCTGGCGTCTTTTGCGGGAAAAAGACGACGAATTGTCCATCGTGAATCGCAGTTGTCGCGCGGTGGTCGCCCATGTGTTGTTTTTTTTTTCGGGTTTGTGTGTCCCGCAGTCCCATCGAGTCGTGTCAGAACTTCTACGAGGACGTCACGCTGCAGATCGACATGGCCTTCAACATTTTCTTTCTCCTCTACTTTGGCCTCCGAGTGAGTAAAAGCAAAGCACTTTGTACTTTGCAAGGCGGCGTATGAATAAACCAGAGTTGTGATTGTAATTAAAGCGCGCTGGCATGAAACTAATCCCGACCAATAAAATGTTGTTTGTCGGCAGTTCATCGCGGCCAATGACAAGTTGTGGTTCTGGCTGGAGGTCAACTCGGTGGTGGACTTCTTCACGGTGCCGCCCGTCTTCGTGTCCGTCTACCTGAACCGGAGCTGGCTCGGTAAGCTTGACTACACACCGCCACCGCTTCTCAAACTCTGGGGGTCCAGTGACACCTTCGCCTTGTAATGGCAGCGAAACATTACGTCCATATGGACCTTAAATGAAAATGTTGCCTACGGAGAAACTTGTAATGTTCCCATAACACATTTTTTAGAGGGGGGGATATGTGATCAAAAACCCATTTCTGGGCTTTCGCTACGATCCGATGGCGGCCGGATCTTGTAAGCTTTGCTGTCGCCATTTAGTGGCAGAGTGCCTCAAGCTGAAGCAAGGACCTGCCAAGAGCCAGATTGATGCGTGAATCACTCAAAGGAGCACGGGGCTTTTGTGAACTCACAAATACCGTGAGAATTCAGCTGGCGGGCAAAGATCGCAAGTTGGGCCGCTTACCCAGTGGACATTATTTTCTTTTCCATGTTGACACCCCCCCCCACCCCCATTCTGTGCTTTCTTGACGTCACTATCGCGTCCCAGTGCACTCGGTCATAGTCTTCTAATGAGCCTCCAAGGCCCAAACAACTTATTTACTACATCTTGGCGATTAACTATTCATGCGAACGCAATATAGACGACACGGATGGTGGCACACGTGCCTGACTTGGGTCCAGAAAGCCTTGGCACAGATTGTATGAATCAGACATCAATAATGTAATAATACGTTTTTTAAAAAAAATACTTTATACTTATCCACAAGTTGTGGTCCTTGCCAAAGCAGTAGCGGCTTTACTGCTTCTGCTTGTCACGTGGAGCCATAAAGAGATTTTCTGTCTCTGAAAAGAGGAAAAATGTTTATTAAAAATTCATGCTGGTGACTTTTTTTTTTTTTTTTTGGCCACTGCAATTCCACATCATGGAGATGAATTGGGGCCACATTCATTCATTATGGATGCTTGGCTGCTCTCCTGTTCTGGGCGGCCTTTTGTGTCATTTGGAAATGGATGAGCGGCGGCTCGCCTCACGCGTCAAAGCCCCGCCGCTCTCCTTCCACCGCCCGCCTCCATGTGGGCTTTCAGCATGGAGGATGTGTGTCCATGTGTTACTGACAGTTACATTAGGAAGTGTGAAAACTTGGAAATGACCCGTATTTCTAGGCAGAGTAGCAACATTTTCTTCATTACTGATGAGAGTAAAACAAAACGGTGCATTCGTATTTATTGTTGAAGCATTGCATCAAAAAAAATCTTTTTATACAAAAAGGCTGACTGAAGGGTTCGACCTTAAAAAAAAAAAAAAAAGTCCACAGATATTTTGTGTTGGTGCAACAGTGCTTAGCTGTTAGCACAGAGGCTCGTGTGTGTGTGTGTGTGTGTGTGTGTGTGTGTGTGTGTGTTCCTCGGTTGCTTGAAAGAGGACGCCGCCATCCGTCACCTCTCGTATTTATTTACACTTTGACATGGAGACGCCAAGTGAGGAGTGAGTAAACTTTTTGCTCATTTAACACAAATACTGGATGTAAACAAGCCTTGATTTGTAACCCGGGGCTAAGTTTGTGTTCGCAACAAGAACAATCAACTTTTCTTGTCTTTCAGGTGGTGCTCGTCTTTGCCCTCAGCATTGGAGCTCTGGTGATCTACTTCATCGATTCCTCAGAGTGAGTATTTGTTGGGAGAGGGGCGTGACATTGTGGTGAAAAGGTCATTCAAAACAAAGGAAAGGCCAAAGATCCTGTTGCGGGAGAAAACACTCGTTCACTAGGTGGCCGGAAGTAGAAGAAGACAAAGCAGGAAGTGGCCATTAGGAAGTAGCCTGAAACTATTCAACGCCGACGGATTCATCGAGCGAACGAGCCGGTGTCCGCTTTCACGCCGCGCTCTCGTTCCCTTTTCACCTGACGAGCTTCACAACTTTCAATCCTCGGCCTTTTTCCAGAGTTCATTTTTCACCTCGCGGCCCCCTTCGTTTCTGTCCACAAGTCCACTTTGGTGCAGTCCAGCCTTTCCTTCCTGTAATTAGCTCTGCGCCCGATGACGGAGGCGCTGCGGTCCTTCTGGAAGCCACCCAGCAAACCCGTCTAGGCTGCTTGGCTTCATGTGTTAGGACTTTGATAGAACACTTGTCACATTGCCATCCACTTGCAATTATTGTGCTGCCCGGCGTCTCTACCTAATGGCCAGCGGTGCGGTGTTTATGGACTAGAGATGACCGACATGTTGAAATCAATGCAGCATCCTTCTAACTTGTGCCTGGTTTAATGATTTCTCTTTATTTGTGCCAGATACAAGGGTTTATTGCGGGTGAGACTCCCCGACATTTTATTTTTTATTTTTTTATGGTTGCCTGACATCCTCCTGCGAGCGGACGTGACTTCTGCATGCACTTAAACCTTAAACTGCTGCTTTCAACACCACCGCCCCACCTAAAAAACGCACACACCGGCGCATGTGTGTGTGTACCTGCGGCAGCTTTTTAAGGGTTAACGACGGATATGCACCAAGGCAATGCTTGCGAGTGCATGCGTTATGTTGCCAACGACTGCACCTACGATGAAGTCACGCTTCCCTGGCGTCTTTTGCGGGAAAAAGACGACGAATTGTCCATCGTGAATCGCAGTTGTCGCGCGGTGGTCGCCCATGTGTTGTTTTTTTTTTCGGGTTTGTGTGTCCCGCAGTCCCATCGAGTCGTGTCAGAACTTCTACGAGGACGTCACGCTGCAGATCGACATGGCCTTCAACATTTTCTTTCTCCTCTACTTTGGCCTCCGAGTGAGTAAAAGCAAAGCACTTTGTACTTTGCAAGGCGGCGTATGAATAAACCAGAGTTGTGATTGTAATTAAAGCGCGCTGGCATGAAACTAATCCCGACCAATAAAATGTTGTTTGTCGGCAGTTCATCGCGGCCAATGACAAGTTGTGGTTCTGGCTGGAGGTCAACTCGGTGGTGGACTTCTTCACGGTGCCGCCCGTCTTCGTGTCCGTCTACCTGAACCGGAGCTGGCTCGGTAAGCTTGACTACACACCGCCACCGCTTCTCAAACTCTGGGGGTCCAGTGACACCTTCGCCTTGTAATGGCAGCGAAACATTACGTCCATATGGACCTTAAATGAAAATGTTGCCTACGGAGAAACTTGTAATGTTCCCATAACACATTTTTTAGAGGGGGGGATATGTGATCAAGCTCATAACAAATTTGCGTATTCACAGATTAATAAATTCGATTCATATTTCTACGTGTTTGTTTTTTTTTTTTTTTGGAAGTGATATCACAAAATTTACTCCAAATATTTTGGACCCTCAAGCAGACCTCAGGGTGTCCCTCGACTCTCGTTTGAGAACTTGTGTGTGTGTGTGTGTGTGTGTGTGTGTGTGTGTGTGTGTGTGCACGCGCGAATTGTTGTGCTGTGCTCCACGTGTCCGTCCTTAGTGCAGGCAAATCACACCGGAATGGAATTGGACCGTGATTTGAACCCCTCCCTCATGAAAACAGAAACAGGCTTTAATGGTGACAGGAAATGAAGGATTATGGGGATCTTTGCAGACGGCTTTAAATGTATTATTTTTTTTCTCCTCCTCCTCTTGTCTGGCTCTGGCGAGGCACAAAGCCAAACGCTCACAAGCAAACTGTGTGATCATGTGTTGCGTAATGTCATGTGGACTTTGAATGTCTTGCTCAAATTTAAGGTGGAAGAAGCTACTTGAATTATGAAGCTGGCGCCACCTAGTGGACGTTCTGCAGCACTGTCATTGTCCCGTCTGCCCATCGGCCACTTCATTAGGTCCACTTGTATCCACGCCATTTGAATATATACTTAATTTTCTGATCATTTTAATCATATTGATAATAAGGACATCATATTTTTTTAATGAAATGTCACTTATTTTAGTCATATAAATATATTTGACATGTAGAATTATGACTTATTGTTTACAACATCTGCCATTATTTCAGGGATTAAGCGAGCGAATCTAAAAAAAGAAAAACTGCACCAGTTTTTCCCCATCGTTGCGCACACACGCATGTTGTCATGTGATCGGAATTTTCCCTCTCAAAAACAACAAGCTGTTCTTTTGCGAAGCTTAAGGGAACAGGACATTTGTTGCGGGCTCTAAGGACTGACCCAGAGGTCAGATTGATGGACACGCTTGCTTCCCGCTTCTCTGGATGAATCCGAAAGAAGCTTATGTATCGCCGTCGCAACACCACGTCAATATCCTGTCGACTTTAAGCTCACCATAAGCGCACTAGCGGGCTAGCGCGGAGGACAAAAGTTTCTCGTTTGAGCTCGAAGACGTGCCGAAATGATTCCGACAAAGATGTTAGTGTACAAGGGGGCCGACGGGGCCGTCCAGACCGTGCCTGCCACCAGGCGGCGCAAGAAATCCACCGGCGAGCTTTTCCAAAATGGATACCGGGTCCGCAACGGCCACGACAAAGACGAGCAGGAGTTCGCCGGCGGCTCGCACTTGCCTTCCGGCTTCCGTGCCGTCTCCTACTGGGGTAAGACGCGTGACCGCTCTCAGTGACGCCAAGTGCAAATACTTCTATCCTCTCCTTTCCCCGTTTGGAGCAAAAAAAGGGATTCACTCCAATTTAACGTTCCTCAACGCAGCATAAAATATGGGGAAAGTGAAGCTCTGTGGAAACTTTCTGAATCAAATGGTCTTCATTTTATTTCTTCAGATTTAGACATCGATTTTTGAGTCTTTTCAGAGAATTACTGTATCAAATTCTTACAGACATGCTGATGTGTTTGCTGGGATTTTCCGTCGCGGCTTGTGATAGGTTCATTTTGGTGTGATGGTGACACGTCCACCTGCTGGTGTGCTTTGACGGTCTTCATTCAGCTTTCGCTCGGGGGGACTGAACACAAGTTGCATGCGGCAGCGGGACCTTTTGTTGGTAGTTGTTGAAAGTAACCGCGAGTGCTTGTTGAGTGTCGAAATGAATCCGCTGAAGCCGCTGTGCGATTTTGTGAAAGGTCATTTCTTTTCGTCACCCATGTTCCTTTTTAACACGCACGGTCTTATTTTGTTTGTTTTTATGCTTTTCTTTTTTTTTCCGGCAGGCTTGAGGTTCTTAAGGGCCCTAAGGTTGATACAGTTCTCTGAGATTTTACAATTTTTGAATATACTCAAGACAAGGTAAGACCTTTTAATCCCGTTTTTTTTTCCACACTTTTTCTTTGGCATGTGTGAAGTTTTAAAATAACCGACTCATCATCATTGACTGTAAGTAATTGGACAGCCAAGCTGACTGGTTGATAACGCGAACCTTTGTTTGAACCAGCAACTCCATCAAGCTGGTCAACTTGTGTTCCATCTTCATCAGCACATGGCTCACGGCGGCCGGATTCATCCATTTGGTAAATCGCATCACCGCACGTTGATGAAGAGTAAGCTTTCCCCATATCAGAACCACGTGTTTTTCCAGGTGGAAAATTCTGGGGATCCTTGGGAGAACTTCGAGAATTCTCAGGCGCTTTCCTACTGGGAATGTGTGTACCTGCTGATGGTCACCATGTCCACGGTGGGCTACGGCGACGTTTACGCCAAAACCACCCTGGGCCGACTCTTTATGGTCTTCTTCATCCTTGGTGGTCTGGTAAAGAAAAGCCTCTCCTTCGTTCAAAAAAAATGACAGAGGATACCACAGTGTTGTTGCATGTCATGTTTTGATTGTGCTCATGCTGAGAGATGAGTGTTAGACTTCCGACATCAACTCTTTCACGACAGCCATGCCCCTTATTTGATTTTTTTGACCCAAAAAAAGTATTGACTTGGAAACGTTGGACATATAACGTCACTCATTCATGGACTAAAAAACAAAAACACATTTTCTTGTAATAACATAATTCCCGTGAAATGCATCTTTTTTTAAATTTATTTATTTTTTTTTAATTTTATGACTGAAGTCGCAACATCAACATGGACATTTTCTCTGTAGAAAATGTCCATGTTGATGTTGCGACTTCATCCGCATCACTAAACAAAATGTCTTCTCATATTTCCTATATGAACATTTTTTTCGGAATATTGTCGATTTGGCGACGTCATGTCTCAGCATTCACACAATTGCCATGTGTTAGTGACTGACGGTTGATTATTTCTTGTGAGTTGTTTTCAGCATTGCGGTTTCAGGTAGCTCTGCCCCTTTGTGCCCCTCTTGCCAACCTCCTGACCTCTTGACCTTCCAACCGCCTAACTCCCCTCTCGACCACAACAAACACTGACACTACAACAATTTGCTCTGAGGCCCTCTAATGATCTTATTGATTGCCTCTTTGCCCCGCCGCCACACCCTCTAAAAAAAAATAAGTCTTCAATTATTTTTTTCTGAAATTATATACGTCATATTTGTGACAAAAATAACTCCTAATATAGCAACTTTGCTCTTGTAAAAATTATTTCCTAAAAAAAGTCTTGTAAAATAATTGAATTAAACTTTGTATGACCCTTTTCTGAAATGGAAATCATAGGAGTCCTCTAACAATTTTTAAAAATGTATTTTCTGTGTAAAGTTGCATATTTTAATACAATTTTAGTCAAATATTAAAAATAGCCATTCGTGTCATTCATGTAAAATGATGAATGTTCTTTTTTTAAATAAAAACAATTCTCGCAAAATATTTATATTTTTACTTTTTAAAATACTAATTTATGACTTTATTTTTTTTATTGTCTGACTTTATTCTTGAATTGGTCCAGTATTCAGCGTAAGCACCAAACTACGATGTTGTGGTTTCTATAAATATTGATAGACAAAGCAAATGTGACGTCTTCAGTTGAGGGCATCGGTGAAAATCGTTGTGTGGTGTGTTTGTTGATCAAAACATGGCACTTAAGGATTCCTCTCTATAGTCATTTTGTAAAATTCATTTTCCTAACTCAGATGAATTGGCTGCCATTCTTTATAACATCCTTGATATACATATTTTGTTCTAAACACAGTGGTACTTGAGTTTGATTCTTTCCATTACCACCTCCCAACACGTCATGGCTTATAATACAAAAAATTCACTTCAAAGTCAAGATACCACTGTAACATACATATTTTTTGCAATGTAACTGATTTAATTTCAAGCTACATTGACACCATTTTTAGTCATTCTTAACCATGGAATGCCCCCGCCCTCCCAGAAAAAAAAAAAAAATCATTTTCCTGCACTTGGATGAAATCTTCAAGGTAGTGGGCCTGCACTTGATTTCTCTGCTCGCCTTTTCTGTCTCCTATGTGCTCCTTAGGCCATGTTTGCGAGCTACGTGCCTGAAATCATAGAGTTAATAGGCAACCGCAAGAAATACGGTGGTTCCTATAGTGCTGTTAATGGCAGAAAGTAAGTATTACCCGGGAGGCCGCAGTAAAGGCTTCTCTTGCATGCCCCCCCTTTTTTTTTTGTTTTTGCTTTTTCTTTTCCACGCATGTAGGCCATGTTTGCTCGCTACGTGCCAGAAATTGCCGCTCTCATCCTTAATCGGAAGAAATATGGAGGGAGTTATAACTCGACCAGAGGCAGAAAGTAAGTCCAATCATGTTCACTGGTGTGGTTTTTGTGTGTGACTTTTTCTTGTCTTTTCTCCTGGTGAGAAATGTGAGATGTAAACATCTCCGCGTTCAAGTCACACCGTGACTGAAGAACTGGGCCATGGTTCGTTCGTCTTGTTTGCTTGTGTTGTCGTCGTCGCTGCTGCTGCTTCGTGTCCGCCCGCTAGGTATCGTTCTTGTGTTGCCGTTTAAAAACAATGTGGCTGCCTGTCAGGTGTTGAGCCAACTAGTCGCCATCTCGACCAGTCAACACGTTGTCTCGTGTAGTCACGTTTGTCTTTATTATCTATACATAGCATTGCAATTTTTCATCATAGAACCTTCACCTCCTAAGATTACCGTATTTTCCGCACTATAAGGCGCACCGAAAAGTCTTCCATTTTCTTAAAAGCTCACGGCGCGCATTGTGTAGTTTTTTTTTTTTTTTTTTTTTTTTAGAACGCAC